CCTCGCTTCCAAAATACTCGTGTCTTTCCATGTTTCTAAGAGAAAGCCGATACGCTTTTGGTGTAAGATAAGGGAAGCATTGTGCAGGATTATGCCCCCATAATTCAAAGGAGCAGGGAAACAAGACTTTGGAGTGTACGAATCACTTGGGAATATAGAAATCGTGTGCTAATACGAGGGTTGTACCAAAAGTTTCTGGATTCAGGAAATTACGAACAGATTGTCCTGAAACTTGCAAGCATTGTAGAACAGAGTACCATCAATCTTCAAAATAATCACCAGCATTGTCAATGCACTTCCTCCACCGTGATGGTATTTTAAGCTACCAGTCCTGTAAAAACCGGCCGGACGGGTCCACTGCAATGCAGTCGCATCCTTTTTCACCTCTTCACCTCATAGTCATCAGGCTATCTTCCTGGCACTACATGCTCGAAAGCAAGAAATGTCAAATCGATGGAGCCATTTCTCCTCACCCAGACCGAAGAAGTCCAAATCCGAAAGATCCACCAAGAAAGTGACGATGACTGTCTTCCTGAACAAGGATGGTCCTTCGGTGACTGATTTTCTATCGAAAAATGCTATTTTAAACCCTGTAATATTGTGGTACATCAAGGAAACTTAACTCAGTACTCTGAAAAAAGAGACGGCATATCCCGATGAACCAAGTACTGCTTTTTCATAATAATGTCAGACTCTTTTGTCACAACCCAATGCTTCCCGCATTTAGGGCGGCAAATTGGGTCATATTCTCATTAAACCCTGGTTATGGCACATTCTGACTTCTTCCTGTTCGGACTCGTGAGAGACCATCAGCGAAGAGTTAATTTCGCTGATTAGGATGAGATGAAGTAGGCTGCGACTGCATGGCAATGGACCCGGCCGGCCGGCTTTTACAGGGCTGGAAAATTCAAATCACCATCTCGTTGGAGGAAGTGCATTGACAACGCTGGTAATTATTTTGAGGATTGGCAATAGTCTGAAGTGAAAAGCTAGCAAGTTTCAGGAAAATCTGCCCGTACATTTTAGTTATATTTCATGAATCCGGAAACTTTTGGTACAACCCTCGTAGATCTACCATGTATTTTAAACTTTGCATTAGCAGATTGACTACATATCTTAGCACGTTGCGTTATTGCATTTTTTACATGTGCGACATGTGTTTCTTCACAACAGACCAATGTTGCATTATTAAAACACTTACTTCGATTTTAAGGAGGAATGGGCGTTCGGAGACTTCATGCTGGAGCAACAGTCTGTGGAAATGTAAAAATATAGGAATATAGAAATATAAAAACATAGCCTGGTAGTGTAGGTTTAGTGTAGGTTTTAACTCTTTCGCTGGCAAAAACAACTTCAGTCGCCCATGGTTCTATTACCTCTTTGAAATTTCGGCAGAGAAAGGGTTAACCTGTATTTACAGTGTCTGCATGCAGCTATCAAAGCCAGGCTGTGACATCCCTGAAACGCGATTCCTCAGGCGTCACTTTTTCTCTTGCAGTGCCCATTTAACGCATGCAGTCGCGAGAAAGAAGGGGGGGGGGGAAGCCTCCGAGGCATTCAAAACCTGAACTGAGAGAGGCAACTTCACAATACGATGGCAATCTGGATCTCATATTCGTGAAAACCTTCAAAGTAAGAGGCTGTCCTAAATACCGAGAACCATGTCTATGACAAGCGTGAATGTGTCGATAGCATAATAAGATGGCGGGAAGTTTATGGTTTTCGTTTTTAGTTTGTTACCGTGAAGCTCAAGTGGGGAACTGGCTTCTTTTCTCCTTCAAGTGATGCAATGAGATTGAATAAACAAGTACAGGACCAAATAAACAGGAAAAAACACTTTCGAGCTATCATCCTTTCTCACCCGTTCTTCAGGCTTGCCCAGATCGACGCCATTCCCTCCCGCACTCGTTAGTCGGAGGGGTGGGGCTCGAAGCGATCTGTTCTCATAAGGAAGCATGCATCAGCATGTCGTTCTTAGTTAGCATGCTAAGCATGCCACTCGACCGTCCCAACTACTCCGAGAGTTCCATCGACGTCGTTCAATCGGGATGCATGGAATGCATCGCCACGAGAACGAAACACCCCTAACAAATCACGGCCCAGACGTCGCGGGGGAAGCGGGTGAGGCTTAAAATGAGAGGTTGTCGAGTCGAGGTGAACGGGTACGTTTAGAAGCGTGCATAGATGCACGCGCATCTGGGGGCGAACTCTGCGAAGTGTGCACCATTGCTGCCGCCATCACATCAATGGGAAAGGACGCCATTCGTGCTCTTCTCTCAAAATGCGTCCAATTTTTTCGCTGTATGCTTCAAACTCGGGTTGAATCGCGATAGAAGACTGAAATTTGACCAAATTCAGAAAGCATTCTTCTATATAGAACATCTACATATATTTTGTCTTAACCTTCATTCACGTCCCGAGAAGCGCTGTCTTTGGCGCACCAGATCTGGTCATAGAAAGAAAAGCCACCCGGAAGAGAGATCCCCAGGATTATCAAAAGCGAAAAAAAGCCACCCGAGACGAAAACATGAGAAAGTCGCAATGAAAACAGCAACTCAATATATGCGAATCAATAAATAAAAAGGGCTTTTTGAACTTGCTTTGCGAATATCCTGAAGCTAACCTTGACTTTTCTCCTTATCTTTAAATTTTAAAGGTTTCGAAATAATATAATATTCTTTTTTTTTCAGTAAAATTTTAACAATAGGATCCTGAATAGTAGAAGGAAACAGCCTGTGGGCATTTCATTTGAGAATTTACTCGATGTACTGAAACTGCATATATGGCAAATGTGTTTAGCCATGACCACATTATAATTTTATGGCTATCAAAATACCCTACGCGTTTTCAGAAACGCAAATTTGTTTGAAAAGTTTTAACATTTCAAGTACAAACATCAATCTTTTTTTTATCTGGTATTACTTCATTTTGTCGTAATAAAGTTTACCAAAATTTAAAAGCAAGCTCAAGTTTCTTTAAGCTTTTCATACTGCTTTTTTGTTTTGGGTGTTTTTTTTTTGAACCCGCGAGGTCTTTGGCCTGATGTCCCATTCTATCACTCAGCGAAGTGCCTTTCCAGCTTACATTAAAAAGAAGTATGAGGGGTCGTATTTTACAGGGTGAAGAACCACACGAGGATGGTTGGGCCAGGCGCAATTTCTCTACCCCTGCGTCTCAGCTTCCGCCGTGGAACGGGGGAGGCAATACAAAGGCACCTTATTCTCTTTGAAAAAAAAAAAAAGCAGGATCCTTTTTAAAGCTCCGAATATTTCTCAAGCATTAGATGGCGGCGTCAGCGACTGTTGAAGCGCTGTCAGATTTGGGGGGAAAAGAAGCTGGAAGAAAGAAGCTTGGCAACTACAGCAGTTGGCACCAATCACTGGAGCGGTATTTTCATAGGCTTCGAGTCATGAACTCCCTTATTTTCCATCGTGAATCTGCTCTTAGGATATCAGTTCGCGGAAAGGCGGTGGGGAGGTGAAGAGGGAAAAAAGGGAGGCATGATGGAGCGAGAGTGGGTCGTCAAGAATAGACTTACCTGATGAATGTCACCACAGAACAGAACAAATGCGAGCATGGGAATTTTTATGGGAAGGCCCCCTTCCGTTGCGAACCCCTTTTCACCTCTTTCAGAGATCATTACACAATTCCCTCGGTCTGTGGTTCTCATGGTTCATTAGGTGGCAACCATAGGGTTCTCATTAGCTAATTAGCATAGGATTCTCATTCAGCTAATCGATCGACTATTTATGAATATTAAGAAGGTTGACAATATTTGAACGAATGGAAGCAGAATAAGAATATCTAATCCTTCTCTTCCACATCCTTCCTTCCTCTTTAAAAGGGTCGTGAAATAGAGTCTGCCAATTTCCATGAACAACACAAACAATATCAAGCAGATTTTCTCATCCATTCGACACAACCATCACCTTGAGGGAGAAGTTCGAATTTTGCAGTTTTTCCCCTTACGCCGTTTTTTTCTCGTGTCCCCCAGTGCAAGAGACTAAAATTGACACCTACTGTATTGAGTTTTCAGTATTCCAGACGGAGACTTCTCTGTCGGCAGCCTATTGAGGTAGACGGGAGAAGGCCAGTCTAATTATACTTTAATTATACTTTGATATGCCCATGCTGATGCGAAACGATATAAAAGCCAGACTTCCTCCGACATCGAATGAATGAAACTTCCTTCAGTGAGTTAGATCCACTCAGCACGCATCTTCACTCTAATGGCAATGACGGAGAAGCCCCGACTCCTCGTGTCACTTCAACTCAACTTGTACCGACCTACGAGTCCTTCGTCTTCCAAGAAATCCTTAGAACCACGCACAAGATGAGACATGATTAGATAAAGGGCAGACAAGTAGGGGTGAGATCCAGTTCTCTCTCGTTTTTCTCTCCTAATCCAACTAGACGAGAGGGAGGAATTTGACCTCGGGGCAATACTTCGTGATTTGCTCATGTTTTCAACACAAAAAAAGACTGCCAAAAATGTCAGAGTTAGGATCCCCTGTCGAGTGCAGTCAGTCGCTCCATGCGGGCTAGATTGGATCATTAGCAAGTCCCTGCATGTCTAGACAACTTTTTTTTTTTTTTGTCTCAGGTATTTCTTGGAACACTATACTTGCACGCGTCTTCTGGGAACTTCTGACGCTTCGAACGTGGAGGTTGATGACTCCGGTTTCGTTCCCTTCCGTTGAGGCACTTCGGATTCGGAAATCAAGTCGTAGGTGTCACTACACGAAAAGTGCATTTCCATGAATACGACATCATTGTTTTTCTTGCAGTGGATATAATCATTAAGAAACGCATCAGTGAATATTTTCATGTTTTTTAAAGTCTATGAATGAAAATGTAACAACCCGAGCCTCGTTCATGACAATCGTGCTTACTCGTAGAAAACTACGCAGGAGTCGGACGCGCGATACCTCTGGCTGCTGGCTGAAGGAAAGAACCGCGAAAGTGGGAGGAGAAGAGAGCGTGGTCCAGACACGGTTTGTCCATGGCCCGAGGCAGAATGAGAAGGGTCGAGCAAGTTTTCTCCCCCACTCCCTCTCACGTCTGAGCCGAAAAAAGGAAATCCCCCTTTTTCTTATCATTCCGTCTGTGACTGTTGCTGTGACTGAGAGACTCAATTCCATCTCCTTGGACGTTCTTTCGTACCGGACCGACGACCCCCATCCGTAAGAAACGTATTTGTCCACTTTCTTGGTTACCAAAAACGTTGATTCAAGTTAAACGCCAAGAACGTCAAGGTAAAACTTGAAATAAATATCAACCGAGTTACAGCTTGCAGTCAAGGAAATTAAGTGAAGCCAAAATTCACAGTTTGGGGGCAATCTAGCGTGTAGGCAAAGAGAGTCATTTTTCATAGCTGTTTGGACTTTTAGGTCTTTACTGCCTAACGATTACAGCCGGATTCTTCCCCTGCTTAACTGCTAAGAGACTTCGGTACCTCTTTTAGCTAAACCTCACGAGGGATTCTTGCATTTTTACATCGTAATTTCTTTTTTCTCCACTTGCATTTCGGCAAGTTGGAACCAACTTGACTCTCGGGAAACCGGAGGGACTCGGTCGATTAGACTATTAAATCATCAGAAGAACGCTTTGAACTTAACTCGAACCCTTTTGAATTTTGAATCATCCCTGCAAGCTTCACAGTTCCTCGTAGTAGAACCTTTCATGAACCTTTCCACGTTGCTTTGGATGCAGGGACAATGGAGATGTTTCAAGCATTCCGCGATATGAAAGGAGGGCCGACCTACTACAAAGAGGTGCACCGATCGAGGGCCTTAGTGGATTTCAATCTCGTCGTCATCTTTCTCGTCTTCGTCACCGCCTTGGTCGGTAGTGGAATCTCTTTGCTCATCTCTCGACGAAAGAAAATCAATACTATTGCCATGCTGGCTCTCTTGATGGGCACGATTTTATGCATCTCCACTGACTTTGAAAGCACCGAATGGCTGTACGGCCACGCTCTGGCAACCGATTCGTTGACCTTTGCGAGACCGAAACTTGAGGTCTACGAGGTCGGTCTCCATGTTGGACTCCATGGAGTTAATATCACCTTGACCTTGGCAGACCCTATACGCCAGCAATTCCAGGACATTTACTTCAACGAGTACTTTCATTGGGACGAGCCGACTTCTCTGAACCACCAGAAGGGAGACGCCCTTTTGAGGGGTCTTCCAGTACCCATATTGACGGTATTAGAATATCTCAGCGCCCCTGAAACCCTCTGCATCGGATCTCATTTGAGGTATATAGCACACTGGACGTCGTGGATTTTGTATGCAGCGGGATGGATTTGGGCTTGGACATTCATCCTCTGTATGGCAGTGCCCAATCACTCCTGCTATGGATTCATGGGCTGTGGCGCTTGTCTCCTCATTTCTGTGCTCTTTTACGGCGTCCAAGCCGCCAACATAGTCTTCGACATTCGCATCAACGGCTCGATTCTATGGATGAGTTGGGGGTGGAACTTCTGGTTCACCGTAGTCATGGGTGCGGCTAATTTATTGACTGGATTCTTCCTACTATTCTGGAAAGACACGAACGGACGGGAATTTGCCACCGCCTTGGAATTCGGCTTCGACACTCCCTTCTACTGGCCTGACGTGAAGGATCCCCTCCAGTGAGTGCTCATCTCGTTATATTTCTCGACCTTGGTTGCATTATCGGCAGGTGGCTGCCTTCTCAAATAGCCGTAATTTGACTATTCACTGGCTGACATCCTGAAACCGTTCTCCTTCAGTCGGCATACCTCCTAGACGTTTCCCACCTGCCATCGTCCCTTTCTGCCGGAGACATTGAGACGAAACAAGATATTCGCTTCCTATGTGGCTCTCGGGAAACGGGTCATTTTAGTTCAATATTTTGAAATCGCGCACCTGCGGAACTGGCGTTTGACTACATGCGCCTGTCTGTTCTGCGTATACCACTTCTCCGTTCCTTTCGTCTAGCTGCGCTCGATCACCCTTCCATTCTTCTGTCATCGCATAAACTTTACCTTGTTACAGACGTGCTACAGAATAAGACTAAACAAAAACTACGACGCTTCGAGCTTGCCTTCGTGCGAATCTGTTACTCGTCGGCTCTTGTATAATCATCTTAAGGTTGCACCCTAGTAAAATAGCTATTGTAATGAAAATATAACTCGAAGCTAGGAAACTTTTCCCCTAAAGTCTATGTTCTAGGAATTAACTAACTACCATTTATTTCTGGCGTAAAACTTGTTCATACCAAGTTATGCCACCAAAACGGCGGACGGTATTATTTTCCCTTTGTACCTTTTTGAGAATCATAAGACGTGTATACATCCCTTTCGGCAAAGTCGTACGGTTTCAATTGCAATTGAAGGGCAATTGAGATGGAGTAGAAGGTGCACTTCTAAAATCTCAACAGAATTGAATTAAGTAAAAAGTTGTCCGTTTCATGCAGAGAGAAAAAAAAAGGGAAAAGGCAAAGAAATACAGAAATTGTCCCACTCAAAATAGCAAAAATAGCAAAGTAGCATGCCCAAGGAAGATTCAACACCGCGAATGAGGGACTAATGCGAGAGAAGACCGCATTGTAACCTCGCATGTACCTTCGTCCCTAATTGCCTAAATTCGCCGTCCGTCATCGTCCAAATCTTCACGCTCACGGCCTCTTGGAACTCCTTTTTCTCTCTCCCAACTTTGACCTAGGACTGGGCCCATCATCGTGATATCACGATATCGACAGATGCTTCTGTCTGCGATGAGTGCATAATACGACATTCTCCTTCAGCTTCTTACCGACCCTGATTATTCCAGTTTGCTAAATGCATGGCCGACTGAAGAAGGAAATGCGACGCAGGAGAGCTTTATTTGCCTTTTCTACCCTTTTTTTTCCTTCTCTTTTCCCAGTTCCTCATGTACCCTCCGATTTTCGCTTTGTCTATTTTTCTTCGTAATTTAATTTCTTTGTTTTCCTTCGTTTTGTCTCGACTTTTCGAGTATTTCCTTCCGCTCTTTCCACCACTTGTTTGGCTTCACTATGGCTTTCTAATTGTTGAATGTTTCTATTTCTGATTTTCTTCCTTCCTGGTCAGTATTCTCAGACCAGGGAAGTTGACGTCTAAATATATTTCTGCCATCTCCCAAATTTCAGTTCGTGTATATTTTAAAAATAATTTTCTATTGCGTTTTTTAAATAGGCATTCCGAAGGGAAAGTTTCCTCGATACGTCGGTTTGGAACTTTTTCTCATAAAACTTGTTTTTTTTTTTTTTTTTTTTTTTTTTTTATCTATTTGTATTCTTTAAATTTTTTTTTTTTTTTTTTTTGCCCCCCCCCCCCCACTCAGTTTTGAAATGCCTTTCCAGGAAAAGGCAAGTTGAAGCTGTAAGAATACTTTTTCAGTTACAGTGCACTAAAAATGCTGCAGGGTCATAAAAACTACTCACCGCAGAATGACCAAACTGCGTTGGTTCATCCCAGGAATATTGTGAAGGTTTCAAGAAATTCTAGCATCTCGAGTTACACTTCATTACAGCAGCAATTTTGCTTGGATGCCACTTTAAACCGGAACTAGCCATGTGACAGAATTTCCGCCATTTGGTGGTGTGAGAAAATGATTAGCAGCCTATGCAGGGAATCTTGGATGAGTTGTGCGCGAAAACGGTCGCGATCAGAAGCCGTGGACTTCACGGTTCAACGAAGTATTAATAACAAGGGGAAGAGAGGAGTCGTGCGGTGGTGGGGATCGACACCTCAACTCTTCAATTCTCTCAACTCCTCCCTCAATCCTTCAATTTCCTAAATTTAACCCTTTCCACTCGTTTGTCGAGCTGGGCTCGCCATCGGTCCTAGCGTTGCAGGAAAAAACCGAGTGGAGATGGTTAAGGGCGGAAGGGAAGAGTGGTCTATCTGTGAGAAATTCTTTTCTAGAGCTCTAGATGGAAAGAGTGAATATTCCAGTGACGGTTTTCTTTTAAGAGAGGAAATGTGGTTTATGTTGAAGACCAGTTTTTCCTATGCATAAATTCCGGAAACCATCACCTTCAAAGAAAGGGAAAAGGGTCTATGCACACTAAATCGGCTATACGGACCTTTTTTTTGCAGATGGACTACTTTTCCTTTCAGTCCTTCAATTACATTTTTTAGAGCATCGCGAAGTGAAGAGTACGCATTACAGACTTCGTGTTTTACGGAAATCTAATGCGGTAGCAGCCAATGGGTGATATGCACCGAATCCGTTTAAGCTAAACTAATCTGATCTCACAATGGTCCCCTATGGGCATCAGTTTAACCGAGGTAAACTTATTCCCATAGACGCCCATTATGAAAACGAATCAGTTTAAAGTTAACCGAATTTGGTGCATGTCACCCAATACCGAAAACCAGGTTTTAGCATCGGGATTCCATTGTGTTATGTTGGAGCCAGAGTTCGAGTGTTGAAATTTCATTTAGGTGATGTAGAAGGGCCTCTAAGCTAAAAGAGCAATTTTTTCTCCATAGGAGTCGATGAATTTTTAAAGAACCGTTAACTGGAGGTGGTTTCAGCATTCTGGTTTCCTCGGTCCTTTTTCCTAAGGAAAAGCAGTCGAAACGCCTTTCTTCTCTTTTTCACGTGCAGTGCGAAACATTTGGAAGGCACGAAGCCATCAACTCCGGCATGGATGCAGGTAATGGTAATGGGACCGACCCCACCGAAGGAGGAGGAAATCCGGATCTTCTTACCTTCTCCACCGACCGTAGAGATCTCGAAATCCGAGACTCTATGCCGGGATGCCACCGCCGTTCTCATCGACCAGCCTGCCAAACCCACCGTCCGTTTCTGCTTTGACAACCTCGAACCCAACCCGTACTCGGGTAAAGGAAGGAGGTAACGGATTTCCCATCCTGATGTATTTAGTGAAGCCTCCCTCTAGCTAGTTCCGTTCTTTTTTGTTTTTCTTCTCGCAGTTCTCCGGCAGCGCTGGAGCCCGTATCACCGACAGTTGTGCCAAAATCTCCGATACACTCCAATGTCCGCTATCGAGCACCGGATGAGGGAAATGACGCATGCCCCGAATGATGACCGATTTCAATCCCAACTACTTTCACGTGACGAATTGACTGTGATAAATCCGGCAGATGAATTTTATTCCATTAGATGAATAACTGAATAATTTGTATAAAAATTTGGGGAACAAACGTGTCTTGTACCTTGCATCCCATATTGAAAATCGAAACGTCAAGGATTCCACTTGTGGCTACCGAGTGTGGGTTTTTGAATCGAAGACATGAGGAGCAGTAATTTCAAATTTTGAACTTACAAGAGAGTGTTGTTGGTAATTCTCCATTATAATGTTTCATTATTTTCATCCATGGTTGATGATGGTTATGTTGCATGTCAGACAAAAGGAAGCAAAGCCGAATGAGTTTTAAAGGTAGCGATGCGTTTCGCATTAATTAATATAATTCGCCTGAAAAATGACCTGGCATAGGGAAACAAGAGCTGAAACCTCGTAAACTGCGGTACCGTAACCCCACGGGGCAATCACGGTCATGTTACTGTGTCCCTGTGTGTCTTAACACGGTTTGCCCGTGTCAGCTCAGTTGTCTGATTTAAAAGAAGAATGTATTTGGATACACGGGTCAAAAACGCTTAACAAACAGCCGATAAAATGAAGACGTTCCTATATAATCAACTCGGGAAAGCGAGTCATATTGCAAAAGAAAAAGGACCCCATGAGAAAAATTATAAAAAAGGGTCTAGGTCTAATTTGGTGTTCTGGAGTACATGCAGTAGCCGTTGAAATTCAACTAATATGTAATGGAATGGCGTGCACTATCATTCATTTCGTTGTAATAGTCGATGACTGAAAAGAGGTCGTCGCCCAGAAGCGAAGCGCAACGACCACTTGCAGAAGTCCTGTAACGTTCTTTCCCAATCTCAGGCGAGGTGGCGAGAAATCAACCATGGACACGCTTGCCTTAGTAAAATGGTATCGTTTCCGAAATTCAACGTCACTGATCTCAGCGGGGTTTTATTTGTCCTCAAAGATCCGTCTGTGTACTGATAGAAGGCATGGTGGCTCAACACGAGACTGTACGATTGAGCACGATGCAACCCATCCATTGCGAAAGATTAGAAATCCATAATCGACGTAAAACCTCTGGACCTGCTCTTATCACGAACCCGTATCTAAACATAACTCAATAAAAGAGTACGTAGTTGAGAAATCACTTCTTCGATAATACGGATCTGGTGACATACTAAAGAATGAATACCCTTGCTCTGGGGAGGCGTTGAATCTTACTCGTTTGAGCACATGCATGACAACTCCGCATTCCATTCTCCGAAACTGCTGAAGACTGGCATTCGATGACTATTCGGTGTAGCTTCATATCCACTTGCGTTACGTCTTATTGATACTGGCTGCTGCGACTCAGGGATTCAGACACTGCCACAGGCTTCTCACAACTCAAATCTCCCGGAAACAAGCAGAGATAACTACCCTGAAGAATGTACAGCATTGTAGAATGAATCCTAGCTACCTTCTGGATTTTCAGGAATGTCAACATGCAAATGATGTGGATTTTCTTTGAGGACATTTGCCCAAGTTTTCGATTGTCCTTTTTCGAAGTCCACAATATCGACCTAATGATCTACTCGGCAATCTCTAGCATGTACAGGGTGTTTCCGAAGTCCTTACTCATGGGGAAATTGAATTACAGCATCAAATTGTGTGCCATATTGCGGCTTGCGCGTATCAATTCTAACTTGGTGGGAATCTTCAGACGTTGGTAAGGATGTCTAATAACTTCCTTCAACTGTTCAAGGTTCCATGGTCTACAAGTGTAAAGACATGAAAAACTCAATTACCTGCAAAAGAGACCAAATAACAAATTCATTATCTGAAACACCCTGAGTAACACTAAATGGCTCTGCCAGACTGGGACTGCTCAAGTAACCATAATTTCTTGAAGCTCCTGTTTTGTTGTTTCTCCACAGAAGCAATTGCCAACAATGCAATTCTAGATGGAACTGTATATATGCACTCAGCTGCAAGGGCTTTCAGATAACGGTGCATCTTGGGACTGGGCACACAAATCACATAAACACAAAGCACAAATTGCTATGGAGCCAATAAACTGAGATACAGAAATGCATGAAAATACTTATAAAAAAAAGATGTGAAGGCAGTTGTACAATGCTATTGAAAAAGGGTCAATGTAAATTTATTCACAACTGTTATGTCACATCATCCATTTAGGAAAATATTAAAAAATACAATCAAATGAGGAGTAAAAATCATGAGAGATACATTTTGAATGCACATCACAAATAATGTGTAGGATTGCAACTATAACCAATGCATTCAAATGAAACTTTAAACAAGAAGAGAGTTTTCAAAGAATCCACGAATAGCATACAAAACCTAAGCTAACATTTGTGACAAATTGAGAACATTGCTGCTCTACAAGTCCATATCACTCAATGAACAAGACTAGAAAACCAACACTTGAAAATCATACATGCACATAACTACTAGATGTGAACATTTAACAATGCCATTAGTTGCCACACAATGCATCTTCTCTATGAGATTACATGGAAACCCATCAACCACCCTGGTGTCACTGGAAAAAGAATGGACCATGAACCTTCAGAATGAGGCATATACGACCAATATACTATTTATGTGTGCCTCAAAACATCTGAAGAGAAAAAAGAAACCTTAACAGAAAAGACAGAATCTGATTGTCATGTTTGGCATGATCTACAAAAATATACTAGTCAAATACTGTCTAGGTGAGCTTACACATGCAACACTCATATGGAAGTTATTTATGACAGATTGTTAACATAGATGACTGTTGTCTGCACTTCCAATGAATAGATAAGACCCCTATAGTAGTAACATAATGGAAAATGGTCACCTACAGGAAAGATCTTTCATGCAAGTGTGCTCATATGTGTAAACATGCCCCAAGGCTCAAATGCCTCTCTAACAGCTACCTGAGGGACAAGCATGAGACACCTTTGAGATTATATTGCCAACAGTGACACTTTATACTCTATCATAAAGAATGGTATAGTGATTCCATGGAGTCAACATTTAATAATCTCTTGTTAAGAAAAAGAGCAAAAGTTTGAGCTCATATTAAACCCAAGATATATCAAGAGACATTAAACAAGGGAATTTCCAGCCTAAGCAGGACAAACACAAGTAGATTGTGTATCTTTATAGCCTCATAGTACCTTACCATACTAGCAATGATGTAATTGATATTCTTGTGATGTCCTGCACATAAATCTTGGGGTCTAAACTTTTGATTTTGTGATGTATATGGCTCAAATCAATTAAACACATACCTTGTCACACTGTATAAAACTATTCACACATACGGGGTTACCTGCAATTGTAATTTGTACCATGTTCAATAAAAAATACAGATGGAACATGCCAGAACACAAAATGATCCAAAACATTAAGCATTATCAATTCAGCAGGATGGTGATCGCAAGGTCCTTTTCAACATCTGTTAATAATGAAAGGGACTTTGTGATATGTAGGGAGTTCCAAAGACTCTGGCATCCTTGCTGTTCAACACCAACACTAAACCTCACTCTCTCAGGCAGCATCATATCACAATGGAGGAGTTCCTTGCCCAGGAATTAGGGTTTGGAACATCACAAGTGGGGAGGCATGCAAAAATGAATTACATCATGTAGAATAATGTCAGACATATGCTTCTCTCCTGTTCTTGGGAGTTTTAGATGAACATGTTCTAGTCAATTTTGCATAGAAATTTGACCAACTTGTTAAAGTTTTGGATGACCATATCCAAAATCCTGATGTGATCCCAACAATCAGTGTCATCAAGTACTTCATCATGAAAACTGTGAACACAGAACGATCTGGGCGTGCAAGGCGTGCCAAATCATCCTGAGACAGAAGTGGACAAGGAATAGCAAATTTCTGACAATTTTCATGAAGCCAGCTGACCATCCACTCATCAAAGTGTGTCTGTTCATAAAAGAGACAAGCCAAGACAATTGTGGCTGGAACAAGATAAAGAACACTGAAAACGCCAATACGAATCATGAGCTTCTCCAATTTGTCAGTCTTTGTTCCATCGTGCTTCATGATGGTCCGGATTCTGAAGAGGGACACAAAGCCTGCGAGGAGGAAAATGGTCCCTAAGCAAAAGTAAATACACAAAGGTGTCAAAACAAATCCACGAAGAGCTTCCACATGCCATAGACCCACAAAGCATACACCAGCCATGATGTCACCTAAAAAAGAAAAGATAATTTGATTTTAGTTGCAAGAGTACAAGTTGACAGCATGGAAAAATAATAACAATGCAGCTGACACTGAAGTTTGAAGACATGCCCTCATGTAATTACACCAGTTTCAGTTATCATTGAAACACAACAATCACTTTCTACTATTCTGCTTAAGCACATTTATTATATAATAATAATAATTTATATTGTACATCTTACCTTCTACTTCACCCATGGCAAGAATAGCAATAGTCTTGATGGCAGGAAGAGCCCAAGCAGCCACATGGAAGTACTGGGAGTTGGCTTCAATAGCTTCATGGCCCCATTTGAGTCCAGCAGCTAAAAACCATGTCAACGCCAGGATGACCCACCAAATTGAGGATGCCATGCTGAAGAAATAGAGCATCATGAAAAGGATGGTGCAAGATTCCTTCTTTGTGCCTTGGGTGATGAGGCGAACCATGCCGTCTTGAAGTTCATGACCTTTTGGGGGATCAAATGGCTCATTACATGCAACTTTGTCTCCCAGTGCATAACCAATTACATATGTCAATGCAACCATGAAGTAACAAATGGATAAGAAGATGATTGGGCGCTCTGGGTATCGAAATCTTGACATATCAATCAAAAATGTCAAAATGGTAAAGGAACATGAAATCAGGCAACACAGAGACCAACCAAAAATCCAAAATCTGGAGAACTTCAGCTGATCTTTTTTAAAGAACATTCCTTCACAGGGGGCACCACAATTTTTCTCAACCTTCTCTTTCACTTTCAAAACATATTCATCATAACCCTCTGGAGTCTTAAATTGGATTGGACAAACAAATCCATAATCTTTTGCTTTTGGTGGGAATTCTCCAGGTTTGTACATACTGGGATAGTAAGAATTAGGCACATATCCAGTATATCCTGAGTCTGGGCGTGGAAAGTCAGTAGGTTGGACTCTGTTCTTATCACTGGATGAATTGTTTTGGGGAACACAAATTTCACTACCTCCTGACTCAGGGAACTTGTAACAATCAAGGTGATCAGGCCAACTGAAACCAAATCTATTCAGTAATTCTTCACAGCCATTTCTTGCAGAAAGACAGAGAGATCTACAAGGAGGGAGTGGCTTGTCTAGGATTGTACATACTGGAGCATACACTGTACACAAGAAGAACTGGAGATCAGGGCTGCAAGCTACTTTCACAAGAGGAAAATACTGATGCACATCCATTCCAGCATCATCTTGTTTCTGGTGACCCAAGAGATTGGGCATTATAGTCATGTTGTACTGAATGTCTGTACAAAGAGGAATAGCAATGGGTTCACATCTTTCTGGTAGTGGTGGATGGTCATGATCAGACACTTTAGTTTGAGATATTTGTCCAGAGACAGCCAGGAGTCCAGCAAGGAGGCCAATCAAAGCTGTAAGTGGAGCACATCTACATACTTTGCCCATGATTCTGTTCAATTGATGGTAGTCAAGGACTACCAAAGGCCTAGGACCACTTGCCAAATAAGTTGCTTCTTCCCACACTCATTGAAGATCACCTAATTCATGCTAAGAAATCAATTGGAAACGTTATTAAAGCCAACAAATGCTTGGATTCTTTTTTAAAATCTGAATGCTGGAGAAAAAACATTTTCAGCAATATCTCTTTTATTATAATCATGCAGCAAAGGATCTAATTCTTTACAAATTTAGGCTTGATAAGGGCTTTGTATCCTACAAATTTTAGCTCAGTAACAAAATTGAGTTATTGAAGACTGGAACTGTGTTGAACAGTATCTTAAGCACTAAGTTTTGTCACTATGAAATCCCAAGGTATACAGAAGGCTATGTTCAAGCTACTCTAATGTCCAGCTGATATTAGCCCAAATTCAGCTCTTTGCATCTATAAGCCAAGGTTCTTATTTGAACTTAACTTCTCATGTCTATTCCATGAAACCAATATTTTAACCCAAAACATGTGGGAAAGTAACATGAAGAATTGAATGATACTATATTTTTTATTTTTGTAAAGCTCCTTCCTAATAGTAAGAAATGTGCGAGTCAAAGATGCATGTGAGTAGTCAGGAAAGAAAATGATTATTCAAGTTGCCCTGGAAATTTCATGTACAAAAAATTAAAATATTTTTCAGAGGCCATGGGTGACTGAAGAACACCCACATGTTGATACTGGAATCCTCCACACAGAAATGAAATTCAATTTTTATTGTAACCAGAAATGCTCAAATTGAGGGACCAACTCAGGACTTCCTATTCCATGTCAATAAATGGCCTAGGCTAATAAATATACAAAACTTCATCATCAAGTAAATGAACCACATGATCAAGGATTGATTAGTAATAAGAATTAACCTACCAAGAGAGGATACATGTGCAAAAGAATGCTGGGGATGGGAGGGGGGGGGGCAGAATTTCTCATCTTATTCCAAAAAGACCTAGGTAAAATATGAGAGGCTTAATGTAGTAGCGCTTTTCAAAGGGTGAATCAACCCATTAGCCTCCAAGTTCTGATATGAAGTTGAATATTGGCAAACACATGGCTCCCCCCTGCTTGATTATTTTTGTTTCACCAAAACCTACAATTACTTTAATTAATATTAGATTTAAAATGCATTTAAAGTATATTTATAAGAAATTATTTTGTTACTCATTAAGAACATCATTTTATTTTTATCCTATTATCATCAATAATTGCACAAAAATCAAATACTTGTTTGTTCTGCATGAAAATTTTGGAATCACCGAAAAGTTTGATCATGAAGTTAATCAAGCAGTTGGGCAAAGTATAATTTCTTAGTGTCTCCTTGAGGTTAGTTGGATGTACCATTGGGAAGAGAGAAAATTTAAAAATTAAGTAACATCATAGTGAAGCTTCTATCTTCATCAGGAGAAACGTTATTGCTGAAACACTTCCATAATTCTAGTTCTGGTTTTTCCTATTAACAAACACAAGTAACAGTCTAGAATATTGGAAGAATAGTGCAATAATCAAGAAATTGATGAAAACAGTTTCTGAAATTGGACCTTGCTACATTTCTGCCAATTTAAATCAAAATTGGATTCAGTTTTGGCCTTCATCTAACTTATGTGTGGCAAAGTAGTTTACATGCCATTATGGACCACATAAATTACAGGTCATTACAAAAATTGTCTTTGAAATCCCTACTAATAGGAACATTTCCAAGACTTCACTCAGATGCACGAGGTGTAGTCTATGAATATGAGCACTGCCATTCTTACATAATTCAGTGTTTCCTGAAAAATGAGGGCATAATTTTTAACCCTCCCAATTTTGGGATACAATTATTTAATGGGTTGAGCATGCATTCATGATGAAATAAGATTTATGTATGGCCAGTTTGCCCAGAAGGGCAAGTAGTTTAGGTAAGCAACGGTTTATTGAGGATGTTGTGTCAAAGTGAAGCCTATGATATTTTTCCAATGTTCAAACCTAAAAGAGGTATCACCAATGTTCAAACCTAAAAGAGGTATCATAGAATCACACATAAATAAAATTACATTATACAGATTTGACATGCAGCAGAACTAATATGAAATGTTTTCAAAAAGGAGATTGAAATAGAAATATACCTTTCACTATCTCAGATAAGAGAAACTATCTATGGTGCTCTCACACTCATACTGAATGTTGGAGGGTTAATGGGAGAGAAAGAGAGAGGTATTTTTGGGGAGGTCTTTTCCCAGAATGATATATGTTGATAAGACTCAAGGAATAGGGGGGGTAAGGAACTGAGGCTACTCAAAAACCATATAAGGTCACCAGGTGCCACTATAGCTCATCTCTCCACATTCACAGCCCACTAGGGGAGAGATCCGATGATTGCAATTTTGGGTGAATGGGCTATATGGAGAATGAAAAAGTGAATACTTTCAATGTTCTTAATTTTATTGAATGCAAGCTCCCATCTACTTATTTTAAGTTTCTTCCCAATTTAACCCATGTCAAGTATCCTGCACACCAGTTGAAAATGACTCAAATCTCCAGTGAACTGAAACTGGAGACAGAATTGAATTAAACAGACAGTATGGAGTCACTTTTTCAGTTTAGTTTCCATGAACTGAGATTGAAATTGTAACACAAGTTTCAGTCTTTGAAGATATCCTGAGCATGTGTTTTCTACAACTTCAGATAGACTCCAGATCTATTATGTACATGTTTTCATTCAGTCAATCCCATTGGATAATTGGACAGAGATCCCTTCTCACCAAATTCCAGTCGTTTCTGCACTTGCCAATAATTGTTTTCCTACACTATTAAGGTGGTTAAAAGTATGGCAGATACTTAGATTTGTGAACTCTCAATATGACACCATTTCTGACTTCTTGGCCAAGGATATTAAATAATTAGCCATCTTAAATTCAACAAGGTAAAGCATTGCCCTTTCTGTGCAAATGTTGACAGGTCAACAAACAAGGTTACTCAAATTTCCTTGATACTGCAAACATTGAGATACAATGATGCCTCCAGTCAACATCGCAGCGTTGGAAACATACTCGATGGATCGAGATGTTATTAACGCCAGAAGCTAGCAAGAGATACCAAATAACCAGGACATGAAAGAATCTAATAGGGTCAAGACTCGAGTCAAGGCCTGAGCTGAAGGTTTGGTTGAAACGGGCTTAATATTCATGGCAACATTGATAAATGGAAATGCCTTGACGTGTTACAGTGACATCAAAATCCACGAATATGAGTAGGATCAAATCATGGCAGAAGGAATCGCGGTAACAGATTGTGAACAAACACCCAGCGGGACACAAACACCAGCCATCTTACATCTGTGGACTGCCGCAGTCGCATATGTTTTCTTGCATCAGCCAATGGAAAGCCAGCAGAGGCGGTGCATGATGGCGGCCTATGACGAACCACGTGCTTCAATCCGTAGTGTTCTCTCACAATGATTAGCAAATGAATTTGTGCCATCTTAACATGAGCTTCTTCTGCTCAATTTAATTTATGTCGTGGGAGATATATCCCTCACCTCCCTGGATGCAGCATAGAAATAATTTGTACTGTGTAAAACTGGTACTAATTCGTTTACAAATCACTGTAAACAGTTTTGCTTTTCAGAAACCTCACGTAAATTTTTTACTGCTTTTCTGTTTTGAGTCCGACACTTTTTCAGATATAGGCGCAATGGTGTCAATGTTATCTGGCACGCCCCATGCCTGAACGCCAACGCCAGATCGCTAAAAATCTTAGCGCTTGACGAGGGAAAACTTTGGGAGGAAAATGGGAAGGGAGTTAAGGGGTTATCGACGAGGGATTGAAATTCGTCGAACACTTGTAAGCTTGTTAGAATTTTTAAGCGGGATTAGCTAAATGTAATACGATAGCATCTGTAATTTGGCATTCAATAGCCAATAAATGCTTGTGCTATATTATTCTATTGCACAATGCATTGTGCATACAGTCCCATATGTTATTGACATGACACCAACCCACTCCACCTTAAGGAAAATAATTTGTTCTTGCAGAAATTCATCGTAATTAAATATTTCTGTTTAGATGATACTTGATGGAAAAAGGAAGAGATAGAAATCCACCTCTGACCACTTCTTTCTGGATTTGCTGAGGATGACCCCCCATGAGTCACTTTTTCTTTCAGTCCAATTATAATTATTTTTTAGAACATTGCCATTTATATTTCTACAGCATTATAATATTACTGGTATGGAACATATAATCGAACAGGATAGGATTGAACCCATTGGTTCCAGTTCCAACCTTTTGAAATTTCTTTTAGGCTGACATCTCAGCATTTTACAAATCATCCTAAGGCAACTTATAATATTGTGATGAGGAAATCCCCTCAGAGCTCTCACTAAAAAGTCAAAAGTCTGTGTTTTGAACCTTTCTGCAGTTAGTAACTGACTAAGGCCCAAAAAGTAATGGGCATCCATCAGATGAGTGTGATTGTTGATCATAATAAATGAAAGCAGTATTAGTTACAAAGAGGAATTTATTACATGTGCCCTTATTAAGTCTTGTCTTCATTCTTATTTCTGAAACTTATGCTTGTTGTATTTATTCAGTGATCTGACATCCTTTCTCTGTTTGAGGATAATAAATTATGGCTATGAAAAAGTTGCTTGTTAGCCATCATACAAGAGACATGCTTGTGCATGCGGAATATTTTTAAAGGATGCAAGGATACAGTAATTAATTCTGCATTGTCATAATCGATAGCGATAATCAGTTGAACTGATTATCACTGCATCAGAGCTACCCCTCCTTTCCTGGCTTAATTAGTACTAGAAGAACCCAACAGGATCAAATAATCCCTTCTAGAAACATTAATTCAAAATATTTTAACTGCATCTGAAAGGTGAATTTATATTTTTTTCAACAGAAGCTATGCTAATAATAGGCTTAGAATCTCTTAGGACAAGTGAGATATGGAGCCTAATGTAGCTTAGGGTCAACTTGACCCCCACAGCCTTTATTGGGTGTAATGATTTCCTGGGCATTCTGGTGATAGATAGAAGTTCCTTTTTATGCCCTCTTTCCACTCAATGAGCACTTTTCACTTAGTTATGGTATGTTCTTTCAAGAAGATGGGGCATGGATTATAAAGTTCTGGGCAATATAATCTGAAATAGCTTTTGAGAAAACCTAAATTTCACCTGAAGTTCAGTGAAAACTGGAAGAGTATGGAAGAGTGGGAGGAATCAAGGCTTCCTAGTAAAAACTTTGAAATGGTTTTCTCTGCTATACATGAATGATCTTCCACCATTTCTTGATGAGTTGCATTGGAGAGACAGTCAGTGATCGAGTATGTACTATGAGAAACTTCCCTTATTGTTATATTAGATGGAATGGATGAGCCATCCTCTCCTCTAGCTTTGAGGCTTTAAGGATTCAGGAATAGAGAGTAAAAGGCTGCAGCACTACTGAAACCTGAGAAGGGGCTTAAAGCAAGAGGTTGTCTCTGCAAGTCTCTTCCCCATTCCATTTCATTGGTTTTTTTAAACTTGTATCAGCTCCTCTCTTTTTAATTGATCCTTACTGAATTCAGTAGTATGTTTAATTGATTTGTTATCTATCTTTTATAGACATCATGCCCAGATAGTCTATACTTTATATCTTAAGTAATGAGACATTTGATTTGGAGATCAAGGAGCTAAGCCAATTGTGCTATGGCTTGTATTAGCACTGGGGAGAGAGGTTTTCCCTCTTGTAACATTGGAAGACAGTGACCTTAATTAATAGCTGCATCCAAAATCTTAGAGCTTATCCAAGGCAAGCATTTTTATTTTTTATTTTTTAATAAGCATAAAATATAAAGGAGGAAAAATTTACCTTTAAAATGTCATGGTGAAACTCTGCTCATGTCCATTAGATGTCTTTAGTCACAAGTGCATTTGCCAGGCTTTTTAGAAACCAATGGTCAAACTCAGTCTGAAATTACTGTTTAGTATGGCACAGAATACAGTAAATCTTGACAAAATATAATGAAAAATGGGAACTCATGAATCTAACTGGTCCCAAGGGCAAAGGGACAAGAGCAGAACAAATTTGCATGATTGTGCACTGAATCAAAACAAATGACAATAAATGCAGAAAATCCTGAGCAGTTGGCCCTGAGCATCATAATTTGGCTGTCAATAATGATACCAGTCACATAAAGAACATTTAGTTGTCATGAACAAAGAAATCAAAGGTTCTTTCATTAAAGCTTGAAAATATTGATTCTTCATGGTATCAGATGACATACTATTTAATATTCTAAAGCTACCGGCTATATCAGGACAGCCCTGGATTCAAGTATATTCAAGGCAAATCCCTTCATGCCTAGCTTTTAGGGCCCCATTCTTGTAGGGTCCATTTCAGTTTAACATTCAACTACCCAGCTGTTTGAAACTTAGTTGAAGTTAATCAAAATAAGCCAGGGAGAGAGTTGGAATGAAACCTGCAGCTTTCAGTATTGGTATCTGAGTCATAAGTTGTTAGGCTAAAAGCTTCACTTTCAGAGGAAGAGCAAGCAGTAACAATCTGAAGGTGTTAGTGTTATATGATGCCTTAGATAATACTGGATCCAGAGCAGCCCTGGATGTTTCTACTATCTATTTGAAATCCACAATTTCTGAAGAAGATTATCTGATAAACATTTACTAGAGCAGTGCATCTTTAGAAAAAGTTTTTGGTAAATCTTGAAAATGGATGGTGTCTTAATTTAAAAAAATATATATTTTTCAACACACAGGTAGTGTAGGCCTAGGCCAATCATATTTCAGCCCAATGAGATGTGTTCATGTCATATGCAGAGAGGTACTGTGCTCCTTTTTGGATGTGGTGTGAAGCTGGTAAGCAGCCAATCCTTTCCAGCCCTCAGACACTTGAGAATGATGTCTTCAACAAATGAAGTTGGCAAGTTGATAGCCTTGCATAAAGAAGGAGAATCAAGGATTGATCTGTGCCTCCAATATAGTAACCAAAGACTGGGGATTAAGCAACGACGTTTCAATTTCAGTAGGAGAGTTGATGAACCACTCCAGGCTCTGCTGTCAAGAATGTATGCAAATTTTGAAAAAGCCACTCAAAAAAGCAAAAAGAAGAAGGAAAATGAGGGGAAACAGGAATCAGGTGATAATCCAAAATTTGAAATACTTGAACAAGAAATGTACTTTCTTGATTCATCTGGTGAGAAAATAGCAAGTGATAGACCTGTTGTTGAAGTTCTGTTTCAAGGAAATTTGGATGTGCGTCTGAAGATTTGTGACTCTGTGATTGAGATAGAAAGGAATCCTCCCACAATAATGAACTTATCTTTACCAAGCAGCATAATGGCAGGTTTCCTTGTGTATCCAAAGAAATTGGAGGTTGAATTTGCAACCTTAGAGGATGTAATAATGAAGTGGTACATTTCATCATCTTCAAGCAACTCTGATCTGCCTTGGGAGGACAAAGGTGTTCAAAGATATTTGGAAGTCACTAATGCAGACATTGGTAAGAAGGTGAAGCTTATGGCCACTCCAAGGAAAGGGGAGAAGCTTGGAGAACCATGGGAGGTTATATCCAAGTGTGTGATTGAAGCAGGTCCTGGACATTGCCCATTTGAGGATCGTCATCTTTTCACCCAGCAATGGGCTCCAGAGTTGAGGTTTGTTTATAATTACAGTCTGCTTTCTCATATTACTATTGTCTGAAATATAACAGGATAATGTTGTGAAGTTAGTAGGCACCCAACTCATTCAAATACTGTAATGCCGGCAACTGATGGCATTGCCAAAAGTCTCAATAATAAACAAATATGGTATGTTTGATCTTTGCTAGTGTTTATGATCACCAGGCTTAAGTTGAAATTTCAGTACAGCATAAAGGTTTTGCATCATTCCTGTATCTTTCTGGTATCTATAGATGCCAGCATGGAGCATTTTTGTTCAAGAAAGCCTGGATCCACCAAAATAATATGCATGTTAAATGAAAAGCAAAACTTTATATTCTCTCTTTTGGTGTAAATGTAATTGTTTTCTGCTATTTGTCTTCATCATTATAATCAAAGTATTAGTGGTTTGATGAGACTGATTGATTCATACGTTGAATAATGAGAGATTGAAGCAGAAAGAAAATACTTGGGTTTGAATCATGTAAACATATGGGTCATCTCATTGTGCATCATGTTACATTTTCAGAAAAAGGAAGCAATTGCACTATGGTTCTCCACTTTCCAATAGAGGAACCTTAACAATGGGAATTTAGTTAATAGGCATTCATATTTTGTTAATAATAGTTTTTCCATTTTCTTACAGCTCTTCTGAGAGCAAATAAATAATTGTAGGGGTTCCGGTGACTCATGATAAATTTAAAGGACACAATTTCTGTGGAACAGCTTTCAAAAACAAATATCTGGTTTATTTGAAGAAAGATCTAATCATCACTTTACTCCCATTTAGAGCTAACATGAAGGATATATCTCTTGTTGTCTAAACTCCAGAATCTTAGGAAGGTAATAATAAAAGAGTTGGTTGTGGGTCATGTTACATGAATTTGAACAGCCAAAGAATACTATGTCTAGAAAGGTTTTTGGATTACTTTCAATTTTGGTGCATTGGATTTGTACACCTTTTTTGTGCACTGTGTGGTTATATTAATTTTTATGTTGCCCATCCTTGATTGGCATCAATATAGGATTTCACATGTCAAAGAGTTTGGCCTGTGTCCATTGAATGACCATGTGCAATTCTATGCTGCCATTCAATCAACACTATGCATAGATATTGATTGGGCATATCTTACCTATGGATCTCCTGAAAGACATATAGCATTCAGTGGGAATATTTCATCCTGTCTTCAGTGGAGAAATTTTGTCATTGCTTCACTCATTCTGCTTCTGGCAATTGATGAATGCATATTTGGCAAACCACCTGAGAAAAAATTATTAAATTTATGCAGAGTGAGTTTCTCATGAGTGCTTGTGCATGCTTCTGATTTTGCTTGCTCTCATTTAATAGCTTTCATAACTTTGGCTCTTCTTGCATGAATACTTGAATGTTTTGACCATTACAACTAGGTAACTAAAGCAATGTTCATGCTGATTGGAAATATGGGAAATGTGAACAATTGTAGAGATTCATGGGGGATTCTCTTATATGTCAATTTGGCTTGTATTTGAATGGTGTGCTGAATGCTTTTGCCAATTGTCAGAAGCCACATGAAGCAATATTATTAGCCACTTTATGGTATTACTAAAGAAAGGTGAAATATTCACACTTGAAAGCTACATATTTCGTTATATGCATCTGTGCATGCAATAGATAATCCTATTCAAAATCCTTGCACCAGGTTCTATCAAAAGAAAGTATCCATGTAGTTTTATGAATATGGATGCTGGGGGTGCTTCATGGAACAGGGATATGTGGTGCTATGAAGGAAAACATTTTCAATTGTGCATGCAATACTTTCATTAGTCATGGTAGGCCTCTGGCCTCCCTTGCCCAGTTTTGAAGCCTTCTCTGTGGTTATTTTTATGACACTATTTGTTGCAGTTTTCGTGTCATCTCATACAACATCTTGGCTGACCTATATGCTGACTCTGATCACTCTAGGGAGCATCTATTCCCAACTTGTCCTCCATATGCATTGGCAATGGATTATAGGAGACAACTCCTCTTCAAGGAAATTACAGGTAATGAATATAGCTGTTCCTCTGGCCTAAAAAATTAATCAAAATGAAATCCAGCCTTGAAAAAAAAAAGAATTTCATGGCTTGTCTGACTCATGTGTCACATGGTAGCTTAGAATGCCATGCAGACAGTAGAGAATTCTGGTCTGTAGAATGTGATAATATGAAATGATTGGGCAAACTTAAAACAGCTGCTCATGGGTAAATTTTTGTCCTAGGAAGAGATTTTTTTTTTCACAAGCAATGAGTTCTTGCTTGTGAGTACATACCAGATTCTTTGGGGTGTTAGAAAGATATTATCACTTTTAACATAATTTTGCAAAGTTAGCAGTTGTTTCAAGTCACTCCACTTTACAGTATTAAAATCAATTGCAGTATTTATTTAAGTCTGGTATGCTTTCTGTTTGATCTTGAAAGGATACAGAGGAGACCTCATATGCCTTCAGGAGGTGGATACCAAAGTGTTCCAGTATGACTTCTTGCCCACTTTCTCATGCTTGGGCTACTCGGGTCTTTTCTGTCGGAAAGGTGGACTAGTAGCCGAGGGACTTGCAGTTTTCTTCCAAAACTCCAAGTTCAGGTGAGACAGAAATGGTTTAATTCTGAAAGGAAGGGTTTCATTGCATATTTACAGGGCTTTTCTATTATCTTGTCCTTCTAGTGGGCCTGTTTCTGTAGTGTTCAAGTACTTCTTACATTGGGGCATGCCTCAATATAGTTTGATGATAGCACTTTCTGTCTCCCTAGGTCTTATTCAATTTATGAGGTAGACTCAGACCCCTATCATCTGGTTGAAATTCACACTGTGCATTTTCCAATGAAAAATTCTCTTTACAAGATCTTGTCATTAGGCAAAACTTCTCTCTTATGCAGTGCATTTACACTATGGCTCTGAGGGTCATTCAAAAAGTTGTTGAATGGCACTGAAACCCTAAAAGTTCATTGTTTATTTTTAAGGACGTTTCACATCTTTTCAGAATACTCCTCCCATGTCCCCACAACTCTTTCTGACTTCCTCAGCCATTCCTGAAGAGCTCCATGATTCTTGACTTACAGTATATGTTCTGGAACTAAATGCAAACTTTGTCCCAATATCTGTTACATCTCAAACTCAATACCTGCTATTACTGATATTACCTGATATTACTGAAGTCACAAGGAGGCAACATAAGGTGGATGAGGAGGATGGAGAACCTCTAAAAATACCTTTACCCCCTGGAACTATATGTTTCATGTAACTTGTGTGCAGGCACATTGTCATTATGAAGCTGCAACCCCTGCAGCTTTGCAATTTCTCAAGGTCCTGAGACAATTCATTTGCATACTACCAGCATGTCTCAGTCTGACCATCTGTCACTGGAACTCAAGTAACAACAGTCAGAACTGAAGAAAATCCCATACATCATCTTCTAATTCATTAATCCAGTCCTTGGAACTGTTTGGTGAAGGTTGATTGCCTTCTATTAAAACCCAATTTTTTCTGCCAAGATCAAATTTAGAAATGTCAAATCCAAGTTTCATCACTTATGACAACCTCACAAAAGCAATGAGTGCCTTTGGACTTGAAGGGAGAGGTGATTTCTGGTGCCATTCTGTTCAAAGGTGTTTCTGTTCCAAGGTAAGAGCAACTGGTAGCCACTAGCTGCACATATTTTAACTGCAGTTACTCACTGATAATTTTTTTACCACCTTCCTCTGATATCTAGACTGATTAAGCAAACTGGGATCCATCTTCATTAACTCCATCACAGACCCTTTGCACAGGCTCTTCAGTTGTGGAAGTTTTTGGTCATCTACATCTGAGGATATCTTGGAGGTGTTGTTAGCTGTTTTAAAAACAGGGCAATTGTAACAGCATGCACCCACATGAAGGGGCATCATCCCGTAGAACTAACATGAGATCCTCTTGCATTTCCATTGCTGTCTTACTCAACTTCCACCTTGTAAACATATAAATTCAGTCTCAGTTTTTATACCTTCTGCCATTTCACAGCAGTCATTCCTCTCAGTTTAAAAAGTAATGGATTTTTATGTACTAGCCAAGTTCAAAACCAAGATCTCAAAGGAAAGACATAGTAACTATTGTAGTGATCATTGATGAGATTCAAGAGCTTTAAGTCTGAATTCTGGAATCATTGTAATGACTTTTTGAATGACCCCCAACAATAGCTTCATCATATTGGCATATTGCTATGGCATATCCATCCTGGTCTGTAGGATGGGGGGTTCAACTTCTTATCTCACTGTTGGGGGAAGATAAGCTTTGCTTTTCCCACTGTGAAACTGTTCAGTCTTTAAATTTCCAGAACCTGGGGGCATGAGATAGGAACTTCAGCCAGATAAGGAATGCTTCTCTCCTGGTGAAAAAGAAATGATCTCACATTCTGACCTTTTTCAAAATTTGAATTTGAATGGGACATTTATTTGCATTGTGTACTCTCTACTGATTTTGGCTTCATTGCTTATTTAAGAACAGTACTTTTGTTTGTTTTTTCTCAAGAGTAATTTTGGACAAGAATTCTGAGATGTTCATTGATCAACAAAAAATGAAAACTGATTTGCAGCTGAAAGACCCAGTGCACTCTGAACTGGTAATAGCCAGTAATAATGGTTATAGTGAGAAAGACAGTGGATATTCATTCCATTCTCTATCATGAAATGTAATTCAATCTCAGACTAGTTGGAGAGCACTCCTTTAGTTTGAGTGAGGAACTCCAGACAAATCCAGTCCTGGATGACCTTTTCTCTGTCCTGCAGAGAAATCAGAAGTTACTTGAGCGAGCCTTGCAGCGAACTACGACATTTCAGGTGAGAACATCTTGAAAATATTGTGAAGGCAACTAGCAATATAGTTTGATTCATTCCTCTTTATAGGTTGTGCTGCTTGAAAGTGTGAAGGTGAAAGGGAAGTACCTGTTTGTAGGCAATACTCACTTGTACTTTCATCCTGATGCTGATCATATACGTTTGATTCAGGCTGCAACATGCATGAGACTCATTGAAGCTCTAATTGCAGAAAAATTCTCTGGGGTGAGTCTATTTTCTCTCCATCTTGGCTTTTACTCATTTTCACTTGACTAAGACTCCATGTAAGGGGTCCCAAACAATGATTGCCCCCCCCCCCCCCCATCCAGACTAAATGGAAAGAAGTGGAAGAAAACTGAAAACACCACATGTTAGACATTTATTTTACAATATTATGACACATCAATTCAATAGTCTGTGTTGCCTCCTGCTTCAACGTGTTGCTCCATTGTCTGGCGGCAGAATCAGGCACAGGGGGTTCAGCAAGCATCCTGCGTTCCACCTGATCCTTGAGGATGGATCCAATGTGTTCACACACATTGAAGTCAGGGGAATTGCCCAGCCACTCCTCATTCCCAAAGAAGTCAATGTTGTTATCCTTCAGAAGCTGCTGGGTCCAAAGTGCCTTCATGCAGAGGGCCTTGTCATGGAGGAACGTAACCTGGTCAATGTCCAAGACGTTCTGGGGGTCCTTGAGAAAGGGAATCACCCGGTTCGACAAGATCTCCTCCCAGAAGTAAGCACTGTCCCAGCTCTGACCATGCTGGCTTAATCACCCACATCAGATGGCGGGCAGTAAAGAGGACAAAGGTGCCCATACAGTTGGGAGTTTTGAGCAACTCTTGGTAATGCTCTTCGTCGGGAATGTCCTCTGGGGTCTTGGACCAGATTCTATTGTTCTGAGAATTGGGCTTCCTGGTCACATAAACGAAGAATTTGTCGCTGGCAGCAAGGTGGAGGAAGCTTTCCTGGTCCCACTCACTGAGAAAATCAGCAAACCAGAGTTGATCTTCGACGTTCAAAGCTGTCATCTGGGGTTTTGCCAGCTCATGCCATGGCTTGAGGCCTTGCCAGACAAAACAGTAAAATTGTTTCGGGTCCCACTTGTTTACTGCGGCGGAGCTGGATCTCCTTGCTGAGCCCAGTGCAGCTCTTCTTCTGGTAGCCTGACCCCTCCAGGATGATGTTCTTCAACTCCTGGGAGAGAACCTTGGGTCAGCCACCTGCAAATGTGGTCTCACACTCTTGAAGGGACTTACTCCAGTTCCTTTTCACAAAATCCTCTGACCTTCCTAAGCATGCAGCCACCCAGGAGCAAGGAATGAAGGCCACACCTGTCACAGACTTCGTGAAAAGTGACTGCTTTAATGCGGTCAACGAATCGCTTCCTCTCTGAATCATTATGCATAGCAGCACACATTGTTGTACCTGCGAAATATTGTGAATGGATGTACAGTACTTTCATGTGATATAGTCATCACCTGTGCAGACCTTCTAGTTGAGGCTACACATGGCAATCATTGTTTGGAACCCCTTACATGTCACCATTTGTGTGTAACCATGAATTGCTTTTCTATTATCTTTCTCTCTCAGATCCCGCAACCTGATGTATGTGTCATGTTTTGTGGGGATTTGAACAGTGTTCCTGAAAATGCTGTGTACCAACTAGCCACTCAGCAGTTTGTGCCAGCATTTCATGCAGATTGGAGGAGCAGTTAGTGACACTTGATTTATTAGAGATAGAACATGTAGCACTGTTTGCAACTGGTATTGGGTTTTTTCTATCCTCCCTAATTCAGATGAAGAGGAGTCATGTGATGGAATTGATCTCACTCAGCCTTTTCCATTTGCAAGTGCCTGTGGGACACCAGCATACACAAACTTCACCAAGGGATTCAATGGATGTCTTGATTACATATTCTATCAAAAAGATAGATTGACTGTGGAAGAGGTGAGACTACCAGCCTTTGCTGAGGTTGAAGATGTGACTGGTTGTAACCTGCGGAGTTAAGCAAATGAATTTAACCCTTTGACTGCTCCTTTTTTTGTTTACAGAGGCAAATGCACCCCCTTTGGCATGCAAAAATGTAGCAGACCACAAGATTATGCATTGCCTATTATAGCCCTTTTTGTTTTAATTCTCCTGCTTCAAATTTGACTGAATTTGAAACATAACTTGCTCTCAGCTAAATGATTCAGAGGAGTGTGTCATGCTGACCACATTCAAGCTATAACATTTTCTAGATGTTCATGATCTAGGGGGATCTTAACAACATCATGAACCATTCTAAAAATGTGTTGCAGCTTCTAGGAATCATTCAGCATAGAATTAGTCATTTTATAAAAACAGCTGAATCTGAAACATGAAAAAGGACCCCAACAAAATGAACTATTAGAACTACAGTTCTGTTGTCTATTGCATCTCTGTTGGCCAGGGGGGCTGCATCTATTTTTGGCACCCCACACATGCTGCTGTGCTGACTTTTTCTGATGCATGATGGTTTTAGCTAATATTTACAGATGAAGATGAGTTCACTGACCAAGCTTGTTATACAGGTGAAGGATGGGTCTGGTTCTAATCATCTTGGAAGCTTTCTGATATATCTGCTACTAGGAGTGGAAAATTTTTGCAATTGTGTTAGCTCATAATTCCTGAGTTTGTTTCAATATCTTAATTTTCTTAGCACATTTGTATTCAATTTCAATGCCAGTGAAATACCTAAAGATAGCCAAAAGAAAGAATTGAGGAAAATCCATTCACACCTGCAATCCAATTTGATAGTTGTCAAATGTCAGACTGATGGTGTGCATATCTAAGAATGTTTATAATGAATGCAAAAGTATTGCAGATTTGTTATGATTTCATGATTGCATTCTAAAATAGATTTGGTTTTACACATTTTTAACTGTAACTTCACTCCTCACCTGCAGATCCAAGAAGAGTGCATAAAAGGGGAGTGCTATCTCCTGATTATTTACCAGTGTTAGTCACATTTGGTAGCCATTGTTCAAAATATTGAAAGTTATATTGTATATTTCTTGTCATTGACTAAATCAGGGAGTTGAAGTATTAAAATGCATTGTACTTCAGTGGATTCCAACTGTCTCTTGTGGGTATGGAAGAGAGACAAGTTTTTAAGCCCACCCAGTACAGGGTATAGCAATAGAAAAGATCCCCAACATTTAACCTTTATTACGAAACTTGTACCATGCATAGCTTATATGTTCCTCAACACAGTCCTTAAAATGTCATGCAAATTCATTCTGCTGCAGCAAGGCTATGAACGATTATTGGAAATGGATGGAGGGGTTGCTCCAACTCATGCAAGATGACAAGACTCTATATAAGCACCCACATCATCCTCTCTGCAACTGCCAGAAGGAGCCCCTGTCCATCTTCAATATCCAACATATTTTGAAAAAATGATCATAGCCTTGCTTTGACTTGAATTTTTATGAGGTTTCATAAGACTTATGCAAACTTATAAGCCTCTCCCAGGTGAAAGTTTTATGAAAATAGCAGTAATAAGAACAGATGTTATTAATTTAAAAGTCAGAGGTCTTTTTTTTATATCCTTTTTTTTGAGGTCATAACAGGAAATTTTTAGCCTCTCTGGAATGTGTCACTTTGAGTATGAGCTTTCATAATTACTTTTCTTTCATTTTTTATCTACCAGTTGATGTTTATCAGATGTGAAAAAGAGACTTTACTGGCCTTGAAATGCTGTGAATGTACCTGAAAAATTTTAGCACCAATAGCATTATATGAAAAGCTAGAACACCATTAGGTGTTTTTCCATGCATCTTTTCCTATAAAATGTGAAAAATTTTTCAAACAAATGCTAAATCCAGCCATGCTATGACCTTTATTTGTCCCACCTTTCATCTCATTTGCCTAAACCATGATATCCAGGGTAGTTTCACAATTGTAGGGTTTCATTGATAGTGAATTAAATTTTTATGTGGGGCTGGGATTTTTATGAAAATGCATATTTTTTCCGAAGTTGTACTTTTCCTTACTCATGGAGATTATGAAGAATTTGATGGAGAAGAGTCTACATCAGGGGTGACCAAAGTAGATGTTTACTAAGGTACTTAGCATGCTACATGCAGCTCGCAAGCTGCACTTTGATCACCCCTCGTCTATATCCTCCTAAGACCCAGGAAATTTGGACAATAAGCTCCTCTCCTTGCTTTTTGTTATTTTTAGCATTTTCTATGTAGTTAGGTTTTGGTTCATTTGCCTCAATTTCATGCATACCCCTATCACACTGTAAGTTAGAGATATCCATACCTGGAGACTTTAACTGATGAAGAAGCATGGGCATTAAGGTATAGATTTCTATACCAGGGATCTCAGGAGGATATGTAAAATATCGTAGGGCAGTGGATGCAATTGAATGAGTGATGAATGATGCAGGAAGACTTACTTGGGGAATATGAATTGCTCCTTTTTAAATTCTGGAGTGTATGCTACAATAGGTCCTTATGAAAATGCAACTCAATGCATATTATTTTCCCATTCGTCCAGTGCCAAATTGTTTGCTTCCATATATTCATGATATTATCTATATTTAAAAAAATTCACTCCCCAAGGGGAGAGTTAGTGCTCTTGGAGGAGTGTCAGAAAAGACTTTCCTGGAAATGAAACTCGGCTTAATATTAATTAAGTCATAAATTACTACTCTGAAATGCTGCTCGAATCTCGACTCTGCTCATTGTGCCTAGGATATGTGATCAATTGACAAAGGAAGAAATTTGGGAACATTTGAGGTGAGAATGCAAGTTGATGAGAAGGACTCTGACTTGCTAAGATCTATTGTTTGGTCTGATCAAAGGACCATCGATTCCAGGAAGTTCTGATAGAATGAGTGGATTTCCTGGATTTCCAGGCCATGTCAGATATTAGGAACGAATATTCCTCTATTTCCTTCTCGGAGGGAAAAAAAGTAATCTTTATTTCCTAATGTGCAAAATAAATTATTGTGATGTGCACTCTTTTGAAGAGATATGCAGGCAAGATCTTTTGAAGGATATGGAACCAATTGTTTGTTTTTTTTTCCTCTTTTAGGTGATCCCTTTCCCATCTCATGAGGATGTGACAGAACATGGTGCTTTGCCCAGTGTGACATTCCCTTCTGATCATTTGGCTCTAATAGCCCAACTGGCATTCAAAAGATGATGATTTGTTCCAATAAATCTACTATGAGAGTACAGAAGTATGTGAAGACAATAGTTTTTATTTTACCCCTTCATCCTTTTTCATTTTTATAATTTGTATTCGTATTTTTTCATATTCAGTATTTTCATTTTGGAGAGAAATTCAGCCTTCTCCAATCATCTTCACCTAAAGTGGGGTATCCCCAATAGCCCCAAAAAAGTATTCTAAGTGCAGGTTAGCAGTTTGAAGAAACTACTTCTGATTATCTTCGTATTGTCAAAATTTCGTTTTCACTTGAGTCACATTCACATCAATGCGTTTGGTACTTTCTATTTCCAAATGCATTTAAATGGATGGCACCATCACATGCGCGAACAGCGAGAAATAGGGCATGATTATATCGATCATTTGGGAATACTTTCGTGACAGTAGAGGTGACAGGCATCGAATGTGAATCCCTTAGCCTCCTAAGACCTGGGTGGTACGTATGCATGCTAAATTACTTTTTTTTATGGATCTGAGGAGGTAAAGACACCATGCTTGAAACTGTTCTGGGAGATCTGAGAAACGAACGCCTCTTTCTACATCTTTCCTCGTCGAGGATGATAGGATGTCATTGTTGGTGGTTTCATAGAGTAATGCTTAGCTAGTGATGTTCAATGTTTGAATAACTTTCTTTAGAGGAAGGTATTCAAACATTGGACACCACGAGAAACCTGTCATTAAACATACATTGAAACTTAGTGATGACCCTTGTTTCCAGGAAAATCGATTCCTTTGCAATAAATGTGATGCATATGTATTCTGCTATGAGAGCTTCAAAAATATGCCATGAAAAACGAAGGAATGTGAGGACTGCAGAATTTATGCAGGAAATTTTCCTATCATGTTTGTTTTGAGGCAGCAGTACTCCGGTCCACAGCCTTGGTTCTCCTTGTCAACCTGGTGCCCTTTCTGGATCTGGTCACCAGTCGTTTGTCCAGTTCTTTGGTCGGATTAAATGATTGGGTTTTATAGCTGAAGAAAAACATGGGTTCCGTTGAAGTTAATAAATCGAGCTTCTGCAGTTGATTCATTGATGTTATAGTTCTTGATGATTGACATCAGCAATATGGGGCATGATGTGTGGGCTTCCCATGGAGGTTGCTGTGAAGTCGGTGGTACTAGGTAATTGTGTCGGACGGTAAGAAAGTAAAAGAAACGCAATACAGTAATTACATTTTTACAAAAACTTCAGCGGTAACGAATTACTTTACAGGAACAGAATCATTAGTCCCTTTTGGAGGAAAAAAAGTCTGACGATACTGTAACGCGCTTTCTTGATGAGAGACACAACTGAAGGTGAAAATGACCAGTGCTTTATTAATGCATTCATACTTGCCATCGTTGAAAGCACTTGCCAGGCTGGAAATGCTGTTCGCAAGATATATCACCCCTACCAGCCAGTTCTACTGTAGAACGGCTATTTAGTGTACGAAGGCGCATTCTCACCTTTAAGATATGCGGAATTTCTGACTCAACTTTGAAAATCAGCTTCTGAGAGAATATTTACACAAGCGAATATATCGCATGAAAGAACTCGCGATAAGATTCCAGCCAGTGTTTTGCACCCTCGTATGAAATTAGAGGACTCAATTTCTTGGAAACACTCACATAGTAAATGGGTCTTTTATCGAAAGAATCCCTCACGCTGAGCGTCTGGCATGCTAGGACACTCGCATGTGTAATCCTCCCTCTTAGATGCAATGCAAAACAAAGGTGGAAATAATGCTAAATGTCATTTTCATCGTAATGATTTCAGAAGACCAGTTCCAAACCAACAGAGTTCCGGGAAAGTAACGTACAGTGGGAACTCGTTAACTCGAAATTTAAGGGATCGGGAAAATCTATTCGAGTTATCCGAAGTTCGACTTCCCAGGAATCGCCTCTAACCCTATAAAAAAAAAATATATATATATATATATAGAAATCAGGGTGCCGAGAGAGATGTTACAAATGTATCCAGATGGACAGGATACCAGGATCAAAGGCAGAGAATGGCTGGGACTCGAACCTATGACACAAGCGCCTAGCGGATTGCGAGTCCAACACTGAAACCACTAGACTACCTCCCCTGCCCAAAAAAGCATATATAAAAGCAAAAAAAAAAAAAAAATATATATATATATATATCAGGTTAAGGGACATAATCAGAGGGCGATTTTTCCATCCTCAAGAATCCGATTTCAAGAAGCGACGACCTTCCCATTATCATTAGCTTTTATTTATCTGTACGGAAACTTTAATATTCTATATGCAAAATTCTTTTATCACAACGCTCTTCATCCGGTACTCTTTCAGTTTTATCCTCGTTGGCATGAAATCAATAATATTCATTTGTTTTCTAAAGGAATTAGCAACAGAGAAGTGGAAGTCTTTCAAGTTGCCAATCGCCTCGAACAAGTCCACTGGCACTTCTGCTCGTGAGAGGAGCAGATTTCTCCGTCTTCACGCCTGCAATTCGAGTTAACTTCGAGTTAGCCATAAGAAAATCGTAATTGGGGATTAAAGTGTGGTTAGAGTTATCCGGAAATTCGAGATAAGCAAATTCGAGTTAAACGAAATGTTTAACATGGTATCCTACAGGATTCCGTCGGGACCAAGCATTGAATTTCGAGATGAACAGAATTTTGACTCAGGATTCGAGTTAAGGAGTTTCCACTGTATTTTTACTTGCAACTAGTTACTCGTTTGTGAGGAGGAATTATACTTGTGATTAATTACCTCTGGGGTTGAATACTTGCAATTGTAAATAGTGATTTTCACGTGTGACGTGTGCCAAACCCTGGTATACTGGTATCTGTCATCTTGAAAGTCGTATTCTACGTTTTTTTTTCAATGTAACCTAAGGGCGTTCAATTTGGTAGATCATGAAGTGAGGCTTGCAACGCAGAAAGACCACGTCAAAGAACCAATATTCCTGTATAGAACTGAATGCGGGAACGTAACGGCATGGAGAGTCAAAGAGCAGGTTATTCTTGCAAGCATTTGTTGGAAAACGAAGCCCCCATCAACGAGCCCCTTGCGGATATCTGCTAGCTGCAGATCCGCTGCAGTTGCAGCCATGCATCCCTCGCCACTTTGGTGATGATGATGGCCATCGAGTTTCACGAAGGATGATTCCGGGAGAGCTGGAAGCAATTTTCCTTCATAGTAATCTTAGCTCGAAGGCGAATTGAACCGGATGACACCAATACGTCTAGAGATGTAGTCACGAACTCCTCTGGCGTCTAGAAGAGCAATTCGAACTCCATTTTCTGAGGGAACTTTTCTTCCGCGGCTTTCCCCAAATGATGAAGTGATGCTGCCCGTTTCGTTTGTCCAGGTTTTCTCGTGATGATGCCCAGAATTCATCCAGATCACTTCCACTAAGATACACATTTTCGTAGACATGAGAAAAATATGGAAACCATGTCTTGTTATGTTGTAGAAAACTAGTCGGTGCGGGAGTTGTAGACCCTTGATAGAAGAAAAAAAAAAGCCTCTTTCGCGGAAGAAAGACTGACAGCAGTCAGTAGTTTCGCGGAAGAAAAAGGCAAAGGCACGGTCACTCTCGTCTGGTCACGTCAGGACGTTTCAAAGCTCTTCACGTCTGTCTCTTTGGTTTTCCTTGGCTAAAAACGTCCGCTCATTCGAGGCTTTGTGGAGATGAGATGGATTGGCTGAGAGCCTCTGCACTTCAGCAGGGTGGAAAGTCCATGGAACGTAATGTACTCATTGTCTCTTTTCGAAAAAATATTGAAGTACGAGTTTGCCTTATTTTCCTGTCAAAGCTCTTAATTTATGTTGATGAATCAGGAATCGCAATTCTATTTTGTGATAAATAAAAATTAGCATATCTTTCATCCTATCACGATCAGCGGACGATCTTTCGCACTTCTTTTTTTTTCGTGTTTCATAATGAATTTGGAGACAGAAAAGGAAACGTGCAAACCGGCCCTGTTTAGGTCTTGCAGGAAGAAACGCGACCTGCATAACTCGCCTCGGGCTATAGGCAGCTTTCCACTTTCCATTCTCTCAAAATCCGTGAACCCGAATTCCAGCATCTTCCTTCCCGAGTCGACATTTCGTGGTTCACCCAGTAGGCTCTCTAATTTCTCCGGAGGAATTACGGGCGTCCTTTCTCCCTGTGAATGACCATTTTGAATTACATGCATGGGGATTTTCCATTCTGTTCAGTGTATGGAGAAAATTCTCGTCATTAGTCGGCTCCTATCTTTCTGTGATATTTTGCCATGTTTATATCCTCCCATTCTCATTTCTTCAAGTTTTTACCGCTGGGAAAAGGAAATTCACGTCTGAAAGCCTCGGTGCTTTCTCCGAGAGTCGCAAGGTTCCCTGTGCCCCGACGAGGCTCAAATTTCACTTATCTAGGTCCATCGAGGCTCTCGCTCCAATGAGCTCCTCATTATATTATTATTATTATTATATTTTCTTGCAATGAAGATAGATTACAGTGTTTCTCCATTGAATTCACCGCTCGCTTCTCTAACCTGAAATGGGAATAGGCAGGGATTGAAGTCGAAAAGTAATTCATAGGATTGAAAATTCAATCTTCCGGTTGGACCCGAAGCGCCTGCGTTCACATTAATGGCCTATCGTGGATCCTTCGACTTTATTGGGCCTCCATTCCCGAATGGGAAAGGAACGACTTTTTGTGCGTCCTGTCTGCCCGTCCCTCGGTGTCAAGTCGTTCCCATTTCTGTCGTTCGACGGTAATGCCTTGATCACGGCGAAAATTGTCGCGCCATGTGGCCATGATACGAATAGAGTTTTGCATCGGTGAAGTTCTTGACCAAATAGACATTTATGGTGGTTTTTCAATTTTTGCATACGCAATGGCGTTGGGTATTTCGGACCCCAAAGGAATGGATACTAAAGGATTTCTCTCTTCCTCCCCTTTCTCCACCTTGCCTTTCACCCTCGGGGAGGGGGGGGGGGGGGGGGGGGGGGGGGGGGGCCCCCTAACAATCCAACCCCCTACCATTATTTCTTCATCCATGCTCAAACAATAAAGTTAATGGTGATTTTCGAGATTCCGATCGTGATTGGATTTTGTCCGACTAATGAAGAGATAAAATGAAGTATTTCTCGTGTGTGGAAACCCATTACTGAACTAGGCTCGCCCAGCTTGTTTAAATTCCGATTGTTTACATTGCTGCTGGCTGCAAAATTCCTTCTTCTCGACCAAGTCCGTCTTGCGAAGGCACGATGCAGACCTAAACAGGGCGGGTTTCCACTGCCAGAAAGAAGCTGGCCCTGAGGATTGGATGATAGAGGTGTTAGGGAATCAAATTTGGGTGGCAACCATCTCTTGACAGCACCGGTCCAGTTGATATTTACGGAACACACCATAAAGGGTGTGTTGGAGTGTTTTCCCAGAAATATCTCTTCAAAAAATGTTTCAGCTTCGGAGGGCTGCAATCAGCATCTTTAAGAACAACTTGTCGAGTCTTGAATGCTATGATTTTAGGATATACCTCCGTACAGGTGATTCCAATAAATGTGTAGGAAGAACTTCTGCCGAGATCTTGAAATTCTTCTCGCTATCAGGACTCTGTCTGGAAAAGATTGCGTTAAATTGAAATGTTGATGTGCTTGGCTTAATAGGAGAGGGACTCGAGACAACCCTTCCTGGTAGCTGTCCTCTTATATTTTGATTGTAACTTCATTATTTCTGTCTGAGCAATCATGTAAGGATGAGGGGACGACGTGATTTTGGAATGAGCCTTTGGCACGAGAGAGCCCGAAACCTTGCTGGTTCGGCTGGTCCGGTTGGTCCGTTTGTCCATCGCAACAAGGCATCCAGCTTTTTTCATGAAATATCTTCCAAACTTGTGTATGTAACTTCCTTAACGCCTGGATCACCTCGAGCTGCACTGGTTTTCACAACCTTCAAGATGATTTTGAGCCATGCAAAAATATTCATTCATTCAATAAGAACAATCTCATACAGCAGCATTCCACTCCATACTCGCTCAGCATCAAACGCACAAGCACATTCGAGTCAGACGATCCGTGTAATAAAAATTACATTTACAAGAAGAGCCATACCGCATGCTAGCGAGTATTCTCGTTGCAATTCAAAATTTAATCATCACAGAAACCCATATGGATCTATTATGGGCACACAATCGTTTCATCCAATGAACTGAAGGGATAAGAAACGGCATGCCGCTGTCCGATTGTGAGTAAAGCTTCTAACCTACGCGTTTCATACTTTGCTTCCGTTCTATCCCACACTTTTTTTTTCTTCTTGCTTTATTCTTCTTCTCGTAACCGTTGAGCATATTCACACAAATAATAATGATAAATCTCGATAGATTAAACTTTCCAGTAGACGCACATGAAAGACATCAAGCAGCAGCAAATTAATATGTCACATGGTAATAAAATTCTTGTACTAGTTCCCCAGTTGCAGTATCCCGTTCTTTCCCGTGCAACTGCCGAAAACGCAGTGCTGTCCTGCAAAATAATCTTCTGACTAACCCATGGAGATCATTGGCATTTGATTTTTTAAAATCCCTATCTCTTTGGATCGTGGTTAGTGGCATGCACAATTGCCGACGACCATGTCCTCATACTGTCGAAGAATCACATCGTGGTTTTCATCGAAGAAAAGAAGCGTGATGGATTGCAAGGAGGAAGGGACACAGCAAGGGGGTGTCACTTCGTTCAGTCCCAAGTGATGAGCAATGCTCTGAACCCGGGCGTGATTCGTCGGCTCCAGTTCTTCGCTGATCAGATAGTCACATGCACCATCGCACCAATAGGCATTGTATCCCTTGGGAGAGATGATCTGTTCCAAGCCTATCTGGTGCAGATCCACAAACATGTCCAGCTTCGAGCACTGGGGTTTCTGTCTCTGAGCACTGTTTTCGTGAGTCCTGAGGCTGCTGGGATCCTCTTTTTCACTTGCGCCCGTCGTCGATCGCCGTCTCCTTGTGTGGCTCATCCAAGAATCGTCATTCTCCAACAAATCTGCCCGTATTGATTTTTTATTTTTTAAAGATAAAACATGTCTTCAAGTCTGGACAACCATTTCCAGGGTTTCCAGTTCAATCAGACCCTCGCTCGACGTCCTCCTGCGTTTCCCCCCCCCCCCGGCCCTTATCCTTTCATGATGATTAGTGCACTTATGCAGATGGTCGCTGGGCCCTTGTCTCCTTGTGTTCGCGACCCTGAATTTTGACACCATCATGATTCACTTCTGGCATGGCGGACAAGGGTTTGATCGACGTGGAAAACTTGGAATGATTTTCCACTTTTCTGCATCAGAAATGCAACATTAACTCAATTCGTGGTAAATGTAGCCGCGAAGAGATGTCTGAGCTCGCAGAAACGACTTTTTTCCATTGTCTTTCCCATTCATAGCCCGTTTCGGTATGTAAGCTTTCCACGACCGTACCGCATCAGGAAAAGCGAAAAGGGGACAGGAATTGCCTGGGAATTAGATTTACAGTTTCTCTAAGAAATTTGACTGCAAATGACCTCCAAAGCGATGTCCAGTATAAATTACATTCTTTCTTTTCCCGTCTCTCGTCTAGTATCCTTGACTTCTTCGCCTCTCCTCGCATTTCCTCTTTTGTTAAAGCACTTTCAAGAATCCAATAAAGCTAATTCAGGAATAGTCCAGAGTCCGATACTGAGACGTTTGACCCGTTGATTGAATCTCGCCATCTCTTTGAGACTCCAACGAAGAAAATGCGCAGAGAGAAGATTTAAAATAAAAAAAGAGGAAGAAGGCAAATCCTCCCCTACCACAATTTCCATCTTCCCCATACGATAAAAAAAAAGAAGAAAATCCAGGACGGCTTGGAACTGCCAACAGATCGAAATCTCTCCTCACCTCTGTGCTGTTGATTCTGATGGAGGCGGGGGTGTTTGGCTTCCTGGTCGTATAGGACGATGAGAGGCTGTCTGGAATGTTTCAAAGCCAAAGTGACGAACATGGGTTCGTCCAGATGGTCCTTGGCGACAACCAAGAACTGGAAGCGGGACTCGGCTCCTTTCAGACCGCCCAGAATGGCCGATTTTATGTGAAATACTTCCCAACCAGGTGCATGCTCGCTGATGAGATGACTTCCTAGAAGCCTCTGGGATGAGAGGTCTTCCAGTCGTCTCGGATCCTTCACCTCGTACAGGCTTACCTGAATGAGAAAAAAAATCAAAGGTACAGAGCTTTCCGATCGGGCTGGGACTGCTGCGTCGCGACAGAGACGAATGAAAGGCTCTTCGCGAATCGAATAACTTGAAGCCGTTCTTCTCGAACCGATTGTCGTGTAAGTTGTAGCTTTTTATCGATGGGATCGAGATGACCCTCGTGGCACCGTTTGGGGAAGCTGACTCAGGACGTTGGCACGAAAAGGATTCGAGACGTACGGTATGCATAGTGAGGGTTGGCTTATTTCTGGTTTCGCGTCACATTTGAGCGTCACAAGTCGCATGCCATCCTGGAAATAGGCAACTCGATTTGTCCCTGTCACTTCCGCACGCCTTTCGCTTGCCTTGCATCTGCATCCGTTTTCAATACGGTGCGATAGAGAGGGCTTTTACAGGGCTTTTACACGCGGCTGAGGCATCTTGGGGAAAAGTCGTTCGATGCCGTTGCGGCGAGACGATTTTCAATAACTGCGAAATTAAAGCCTCTCAAATGGTCGTGAAGAGGCCATGGCTTTTTCACGACCATATAAGGGAGGGGGGGAAAAGCTTGTGAGCAAGATTCTTTTCTCCCTTCAGCAAATACCAGATTTCTCATCTAAATCTGAGTTCCTTTGAGAATTACCGTCAAGATAAAGATGATGGAGACCAGCATAGAATGGAAATGAGGATGATGATGAAAGATGCCCATTAAAAAGAAAAAGGAACAGTGAAAAAAAACGAGAGAATTTCAACTCTCCAGTTTGTGTCGGCATGTAGTTGAGATGATGATAAATGAGGAGCTGGTGAGTGAGGGGATGTGTTGTTTCTGTCTCATGGGAGACAAGAGAAGCACGAAACATGTAGGCGGATCGTCACCCACTCAATCACCTGAGACCATAACCCATCCGTATATAAAAGTCACTCCTTGAAAATGATGTTCCCACGAAATAACCATCTCGGTGTGTTTCCCATAAATCTCCCTGATCCACCCCAATTCGTCTTCCCCGCTCTTTCGCGAAGCCTTTTTTTTTTACCGCTCTGAATAGAAAAGATGAGAAAATGCGGACTAACCTGACCGACATGCTGATGTCGGGAATGTCTCCCGGCTTTCTTGCTCTTCGTCCTGAAGAGATGCAGATCTGCTTCCAAGATGTTTTCACCGGGTTTCAGTCCGGAAATATTGAACGTAAGCACGACACCTGCACTGAGATTCTGTTCTTCACTCAGACGATAACTTCGGATGATTTCCGCACCGTACGGATTTTTCCCTCTCGTGATACCATCCGAGTCCGCTATTTGGTTGTATAAATTCAACATGTACTGAGGGAGGGGAGGCCGCCGCCCTTCCATCTTCACCGGACCGGGAAGGTCTAACACCTGAAAAGCAACAAATACGGTCAACCGTTGAGTCTCTCTCCACCCCGTTCCCGTCACCCTCTGAATCCTTCAAGTTTTGACTGAGTTTTCGACGATGACACCAACCTCGATGAGGGTATCGATAGGGGATTTCCAGGGCTTCTTGGAAAGGGACGCACCCATCCCGGCCGAGGGCAAAATCCACAAAATCATCAAATCCACGGCGATCATCGCGGAAGGCCGAATGGAGGCAAAGATGAGGAAAAAGAGACGAAAGAGAGGGAGAGAATGAGAGAAGAGAGCAGACACGAATACCGCGAATCACTTTTTAAAGGCTCTCTCTGCTCCGTGCCGTGAGTGGGGTCTGGGCAATTCAGGTGACAGCATTTAGAGGGACAGTCGCGACGAGGTTCAGCCAATAGAAAGCAGCCGGTCCTCAACCTGTCAACCTGACAGATAGTTCCCGCGTGCTTACAAGGAAGAGACAGAGACAGGGAGAGAGCAAGGAAGAACAGGGGGGAAAAAAGATGCAGAGATAGAACATACGAAAGAAGACACACGCTCTCATGGGAAATCAGCATTTTTGTCATCCTATCATGACTTGGGTGATTCACCGCTTCTTTTAAATTGGTTTCGTCGCCTTTCCTTTCCCAGAAAATCTTGTCTGCTCCCGAGAATCGTATATATTATGATTCATAACCCGGAGTCCCTCGTAAACGTCACAGGTCCCGGAAAGCCCTCAGTAACTGGAAATTGAATTCATGAACTCGCAATATAAATATGTATCTGATAATCTTAATGCAAGCATGGGGTGTGTCTCTTGTTTCCTCACCGTCTGTAAGTCCTTCAAATTGCTATAGCCTACGCGAAGTAACAGTGTCGAAAGAGTGACTAATTCTCAAGCATCGCAGTAATTTCACCACCTGAGGAACAAGAGAAAAGATTAATCCACTTTCCTACTCGAAAATGTTCAGTTTTGTACGCATGATGAAAATCGCGATGAAATCGGGCCGTCATTGGACCGATGATCGAGATTTCCTTCATCTGCTCCTCCAGGACTGGCATGACATCGAGTTTTTTTTTTCTCGTCTGCCCTCGTGGAAGCTTCGATTGCAAAGCTGAAAGGATCGTGCAGACATGGTCTGGTCGAGTAGATTTTCTGATTTTTTTAAATCGGGCTATGAGTCTCAAATAAACGTGATTGAGACTTAGCTGTTTCCGCACGGGACGAGATTCAGTCAAATGCTTTCGTTCAGACTCCAACGCGAGGTGTGACCGAAGCCGAGCGAAGTCCGAACTGAATCATCTCCGCTTCATCTCGTCCGCAAGATGGAGGTCACACGACCCCTCAAGCCACACATTTTTCATCGATGGAAATCGTGGACCGAGACTGAAATCCCTTCGCCATGCCTAATAGGGGCAACCGTACTTTGAGGTTCTAATCGTATGCCGGTCGTTCATTCTGTCCGAGAAACACAGGGTTTTTGAAGATCTTATATTGCGGAGGCGACTCGTGTGCTTTGTCACGCTCCTCCTCGAGGAACAGACATTCCAGACTTGCTTCGATGCCGAATTGTGTGGAAGGGAAGCTGGATCAGGACGAGAGATTGCTCGATTCCGGACGCTTATTCTCCCGTTTCCCTCAGCACATTGTGTAGGGGATCGGCCGGAGAGATAAAAGAACACTTGGGTATATTCGCCTCTACGACTACGATTTCGATTAGGCGGAACCGCTGCCCCTCTTCTAAACATAAAGGTAATTTTCGGACGTCAAATGTCCCTATTCAGAATTTGAGTCACTCCAAATCATTTCCTGTGTGCACATTAACCTCAAGGTGGTGCAAGTGAATTTCATTTGGCGATATTTTAAATTAAAATCATGGTATTGTTTCAATGTTCTTGTAAAATATCGATGCCTCTAAGATTCAATTGGAAGATGTCAAATGATAGTTTTGAGGAACTCTGATTCACATCTCTATGATCCTTCGTGCAAAAGCCGTAAAAATGCAAAGTCTCATCATTCTATCCGATGAATGGATCCTCTTGCTGAGGCCTCGTGGCCAATATACACTGTAAAAAATAATGGTTCAGGTTGGAACTCTTCGATGGTTCTACACCCTTGGAAAGGTTGCAGGTGCTGTAGAACCAAATAAAACTCCATCGCTCTTGTAGAACCTCTGGACCTGCCCATTGGTTCTAGGTACGACCATATCTAGTGCTTTCTCAAAATGGTCTTCAAGGCTTGATATGTAAATATTTTTTTATCCATTCGCTCAGAACTTCCCCCCCTCCACCGGCCTCGGCACTCCCTTTCTGCTACCCTGCCTCCCTTGCCTTAATACGCCACTTCTTATGCCCTGAGTGCTAGCACCCTTCGTGAAGCCTGGATCGAAGGTGACGCCTCTTTCGATTGGTTACAATTCTCGCTCGTGGCCTCGTTCAGTATTCGCCTTGACTTCGGAAGGTTCCCATCCCCCCGACGTTATTTGATTCGCCATCAAGTTTTGGACATCGACGCGGATGAATGAATTTCAGTTTTTCAGCCTATACAGCGCCCCTTGGTTTCATTTAAAGACATTACAATTTGCATTTGTCCCAGTTACTTATTTGAATCCAGCGAACTCCTTGAACTGACATTGCACCCACCTAATATTTTGGCAAAAGGTAAATTTTTCGAACGAACTCTTTCTTTAGAGAAAGTGCCCTATAGCACCTTCAAATGAGTGCTACATTGAGTGATGGTTCTTTGTGGAACCATGTCATTCACAAAGGGTTTTAAGCGACGCCTTCTGTAAAGGTGCTACGTGTGACCTTCGTAAGTGGTTCTCTATAGCAGTGGTTCCCGATCTTTTTTTATTTGCGGCACGCATAAGGACACTTGAACTTTCCGCGACACACCCAGCCATTTACTTACTTTCAATGGGAAACTTGTGCTTGCTTCGCTGAACACAGCAGTTTGATACGAGGCGTGATAATGCAACTCTCAGCTCGTTTTCCACTGAGAGATGGCGTTCCCTCTTGTTTTTAAGTTTTTTAGTTTTTTTTTTGTCAACTCTGAAATCTCACGGCACACTTAAGCCTTACTGGCGGCACACCGTTTAGGAAACGCTGCTCTATAGAACCAATAAACAATTCCAGGGAGAACCATTATTTTTTACAGTGTAGGTAGAGTCGTGATGACACGTTAACGATAAAATCAAAAGCTGCGAGCTTATTATGCTTTCTCTGGAGGCATAATATTGTAGATAGTTCCTTAAACCATGAGTCATGTTCATTCCATTTCAATGAGATTTTGCCCAAGAACGGGGAACGGGGGAGGGGGGGAAAGATTGTCTTGTGCATCATGATCGCGAATTCTTCTCATCGAAGAAATTCCATCGAATCGAATTCCATAAGAGCATATATACTGTAGCGTATTCACAATGGCCATTGAATGAGAATTATATCCTGTTCAGGAGGTATTAGTATTGTAATAGTGTAGGTGCATCCGTGCATGTTTCATGCTTGGAAAGCGTCTATTATCCTTGCACTTCATGCCCTATCCTTCACGTCAGGAAGAGGAAATCCGGTGGTAAACCTCTAAGCGACGTCACGACAATGACATCAACTGCCTGTCCCGAGTGATTTGCATTCATAGACCTCTAGATGTCCGATGCCCAAAGAAGTAAGACTGCGTAAAGGGAGTAGCTCTCTCCTTGGGACGGCGGGTCTCCCTCCGCGCGCTGACACAATAAAGACATCCTGTTCCCGGCTGGTAGGACGATCAGATTCGGAACAACGTTGTCCGGACGCGACAGTTACATGACTCGCTTCACGGCCCCGTAAATCCCGAACAGGAACTGCGGCACTCCCTCTTTCGTCTCCTTTTTGGCATCGTGATTCTCCGTCCGATGGCAGTTCAATCATACTCCATCGGCGTTTTCAAAGCTGGTGAATCTTTTACGACGATGTGTCTTAAGTCATCATCCATCGCAGTCAGATCACAGCAGGAGATCACAGAAATAAACCAGAAAGTATTATTCTCGAAATATCCGCATGTGCGTCATAGTTACTCCCACGTGCTCAGTCACTCATGGAAATGCCAGGAAAACTTTTTTCCCCATTCATCCCGTGCCAAATTGTTTGCTTCCATATATTCATGATATTATCTATATTTAAAAAAGTCACTCCCCAAGGGGAGAGTTAGTGCTCTTGGAGGAGTGTCAGAAAAGACTTTCTTGGAAATGAAACTCGGCTTAATATTAATTAAGTCATAAATTACTACTCTGAAATGCTGCTCGAATCTCGACTTTGCTAAGATCTATTGTTTGGTCTGATCAAAGGACCATCGATTCCAGGAAGTTCTGATAGAATGAGTGGATTTCCTGGATTTCCAGGCCATGTCAGATATTAGGAACGAATATTCCTCTATTTCCTTCCCGGAGAGAGAGGGGGAAAAAAAACAGGGGATGACTTTTTAATCAGTTTAATTTGATCTTATAGCTTTCTTCCCACTTCTCATACTAGTCTTGCAAACTCCGGGAGGTACGTTCCTGCTCAGTCAACTCATTTTTCTCCAATCGGTAATACCTTGTGGGAATTTGTTCCAGGCTTCATTTCTATCTTTCGCTTCACCAGAGAGCGACTGATCAATTGGTGAAAACATAAAGTTGTTTCGTGGGCACGATAGCGTGCCCAGAAAATCCCAATGGGTGGGGGGGTTGCCATTTGAAAAATTGGTGACCCACCCTGCATATATGGGCAAAAAATTTTTTTTTGAGAATCGAACCTGTAAAATGTATCCCAAGGGCGGAGGAGGGGAGGTTCCCCTTGGGAACGTCACTGCTTGACAAGAAGACATGAAGGAATATAAAAACATACTTCTCCAAAAATGATGCGCTCGGAAAATATCCAGTACACAGTGCTACGTGGAGCAGCCAAGGTAAAAGAACCGCTAACCAATGGTTTGGAAATCATAAACTGATAATACTTACTTGGCATCGGAGCCATCCTGGTCTCAGTGAGTGACCAAACGGAGTGTCCAGATATGGCATGCTGATGACGAGGTGGCAACGTGCAAGATTATCGAAGGGATGAAACGAATGTGAAGAGTTGGCGGAGAAGCGAAGTGGAGGTGAGAGAACGCAAGATTGGGGAAGGGAAACATCGGCAGCTTTTCCAATGGGAATGCCTTTCCATAACATTCATTATTCGCTGATGCAAGGAAGAATCAATAGTGACGATAATGCCGTCCGCTTAACTGCACTACAGCTACTGTACCCATGAACCTGTAACCATCCGATCCCCTATTAACATGATCAGCATTTATGATGTCATTATTAAAAGACAATAATGGGAACGTCAGCGAGTAAGGGAGAGAGATTGATTTGGGCTCATTAAGCCCATAGGCCATTTACAGCCATTGACAGCCAATTACCATTTTAACAGCGCTCTCACCACCTCACACCTGAAGCACTATCCTGGATATCACACTTGGACATGGACATTTAAGATGCTACTCAACGTCCATACGAAAGAAGAACATCGCTCTTGTACAGAACAGATAAAATGCAGTTCAAGAGGTACGTATTCCAACGTAGCGAGTTTTCAAAGCGATGAAAGTATTCGCAATAATCGAAACCTACTTCTTTTAAGTGGTTAAATAACTCGCAAGGTTGGGCTAATTGGGCAGTAGGGCCCAAATTGTCTGCTTTCATTGAATTGGTGACAGCTGAGCAGGAACTATCACAAGCTGGATATAGTTCTCATGGCCTGGCCTATGATCCAGAGTGGCATAGCCTTGTGTGCCTCGCGCGTTGGGCCTACAAGACTAGGCCATAAGAACAAATACACTTTTAACGACACACCCTGTATATAACGATCCCAAGTGAACAGCATTGCCAACTGAACACAACTTTCTCCCGAATAAGCGCTTGAAATGGTTCAAACTTTATATCAAGAAGCGAAGTTTTGAAGAATTTTTCCTGCCTAGCCGTCTTGGTTCGAAGACACTCTCTCCACATTAAAAGCGTTCGTTCAGGATGGTCGGATCCTTCCTTTTTCAGCGGCACCGGTTCATCGGGTGTGCTTCGAAAGGGGATAGGGGATGCCTTCCCGAATACGACCACCCACCCTCTCTTGCAACAAAGTCAATCATACTGCCTAACCATTGCCAAGTCATTGCCTTTTTCCAACCAGGTATTAGGAGCGAGGGCATTCATATTGTTGACTTTTAGCCGAGACAAAAAATGTATGCAAGGATTAACTTAGGTTGATGCGATCGACGTGGCCTCGCCTGGAGTCGGCATCCTTAAGAATTTTAGGGGAATAAGCTGCTTCTTTTTTTTTTTTTTTACATCTACACACTCCCCAGCAAGCAAGGCTACGTTGGACCAACGTTGTATCAACGTTCCTAACGTTTATTCAATGTTAATTCAACATTGATTCGACATTATGTGTTTTAAATTGTTTGCTGGGTGGGTGGTTCTCTCGCGAAATATTCAAAATGAAACAGATACTATATTAAAAGTTTGTGTTTCTCGAAAGTCTAACGAGAGACGAAGAAGAAGATCTAACGATCTGAAGTATTGCTAACAATATATAATTTTGTATTAATTGCTTTCTGAAGATGCTACTGCTACTATGCTTTCGGAGAAGACTGTCCCGGGTGCATTTTGATAGGAGTCCCCTTTCCAAAACGTTCTTCTGTACGGTATGATTCTCGAAGACTCTGTTTCACGTTAAGAAAAAATTGAAAATTGTATTCACATTCCTAATCAATGTATGGATCACGTGTTTTGGAGCTATGACATTCTAGCATCCCATGATGTTGTTGAATAAGTATTTCGAGAGTAATAAAATCGTGGTTTAATATTTTCGAGGCATAAATATTCAATATCAGGCAGGAAAAATAGCATTCTCACTCCCGCTGTTCTTCTATTTCTTTTATTTCACTCCACGTTTCCGATAGAGTCGATAGCAGGTGTCTATTTAAATGTAGCACTCAACCACCTTTTTCTTGAAGTATATGAGATTGTATATAAGTTCTTTGTCAGCCGAGCAGACTGGTACAAGCATCCGTCGATGGTGTTTTCTGCTGTTAGTCTCACTGGAGTCAGTCTGTCTCACTGATTTTCCTTTCTATTAAGCTAGAATGAGATCATTGGCACTTTCCCCAGACCGAGGAAGGAATTCAAGCAAAAAAAAAAGGAGCTTTCATCAGGGGTCTCAAGGGCAGCCTCAAATCGGGAAGTATGCCTGGAGTGCATAGGTAATTTATTCAGCGGGGAGGGAGAGGCAGGCGTCATTCAACTGATCGTTCATCGAGGGAAGGGAATCATAATAAACATGTGGGCTATTCAAAGACGGCGCCAAACTCTAATCCAGCCTGTCAAGTTTCTTTCTTTCACGTTCGGCGCCCGCGTGGTGTGATGGATTGTACCTAGACTCATTACTTCCCTACTCACACACACGCACGCACACACACATTCTCGCTCGCTCTCTCTTAACCGCTGACTCACCTTTTCTTTTATTCTCCAAAACATATACATGTACATGCAGTCGCTCCTCCTCTTCAATAATGTTTCAGTCTAGCACCAGGTACACAGATGGAGATCGATTCGCAATCAAGAAAATATGATCAGTATTGTTCTTCCCATAAACGATCCGACAGAGTTAGCGTGGGTCTGCGGGGAGAAAAAATCGACTAGCTTGGGAAGCATGGGCTTTTTGCTGGAAATAAAAAAGTCCCTTCGCTGCTCCTGTCTTCGTCAACCGCAATGACAATCCTGGATGGCGAGGAGAGTTCGATTCTTTCCCTGATCATCCACGTAATAATGAGCCTGGTATGCCTTTGGCCCGCACTTCCTCGTGCTCGATCTCTCCAAGTTGAATAGGCAAGATCCGCTCAACTTATCCCTGTCCCAAAACATCAAAGCGTTACTCATCCTCGTTCCATACCAGAGGTCCTTTAGATGTTTAGGTATCTTCGTCTCTCTCACCTTGCGAAGCAATCGAGGACTTTCCCTCCTTTCGGGCATTCTCCGACACATCTCCCGACATCGATCAACTGGGATGAAGAAAAGTCTCACTGGTACTGGACATACAGATTTTTCAAGTCATACATATTTTCTGGGTAGGTGAAAATATATTTGATTGCTTTCGTGGTATCTCGTGTTTGAGGGTTCCTAGGACTTACGTCCGAATGCTCATTGTACATAATCATCATGTATCTGTATCATGTAAACCTACCTAGTAACAAGGTTTTTTCTTTGCCAATCGATTTGTAGTTTAATAATTCAAACAGTCAATCCCTTGCGCAAGAATGTGAATGGTAAAAGGCTCTCGAAGAAGGTTATAGGGGTGTTGGGAGTCTTTTCAGGTTCATGCTTTCTTCTTTTTTCATGCTTATGCTCCCGCGGTCCATAAATGACAGCGACGAAAGAAAGGTTGATGCGATTCGACGAGGTTGAAAGAGTCGGTCCGTCACCGGAGCCGGTAGATCAAAGGGAACGACATGACCTAGCTTAACGTAATTTTGCCCCCATCCCTCTACTAAGTGCCGCAGAGGCCTATTTATTCCAAATATGGTTGCGGGCCCGTAGAGCCTTTGATGGGATCTGGAGGAGAATGCCAGCTGCGTCCCTACGTCCTTCCGCCTTCGCCTGTTTTATTACCGAGTCCCCTGACATGATCACGGAACTCCTCTTCTGCCCATTGTTTTCTCCAGCAAGGCAATCAAAAAATTATTACACTCCCCGCTGGAGAGATTTACGAGTCGAGAATGAACCGGATGCAAAATATTTTTTACCTTGAATTCTTTGTCCTGAACGATCTGGCTGCCGTTGAGAGGAGGGTGATGGTAAACGGCATCAAAATGCGCCACGCGGTAGCAACTGCCCACGCACTCACATCCATCTACGATTTCCACCGAATTCGAACCTGGAACGGAATATGAATATCCTCAACCAGTCTTTCGTCGATCCTACAGACCCAGTGCCCGACTTGAATCCTTTCTTCTGCCACTCACCGTTCGGACCTCGGACGAAAACTGACCTCGTCTTGGTGGCGTGGCACGTCCATCCTGAAACAGGTATCCTTATCAGTAAGAGGCTCGATACGAATGCAAACTGGTGTCTGAATGCTAATCGACACAGCTACGAGAGGTACCTTGATGGGAGCATTGACCGATGCACGTGCCGATGTCCAGGGTCTCTTCGAACGGAGATCCGGAAAAGTAGGTCATGAGTTTTGGGATCCTTCGACATCGATGCTTCTTTTTCAAGCATCCGCATTGTTCGATGACTGTTACATTCACCGGCCCACCCAACACGTAATAATTCTCTACTCTTTCCTTGGATGCAATGCAAGCTTTCTTCTCGCTGCAGGATCTCCTCACCTGGACCGAGAATGACAGATTCTGGAAAATCCGCATCTTATCGCCATCTGCATGATATTCGGATGCGATCGATTCCAATCGCAAAGGCATAGTGAGGACAATATATGGGGAAAGAATCCGAGATGGATACCAGCAAGGCGACATGCGGCATAATCAATGAACGATCCGAAATCAATGACTGTCTCGGGACGACTGTCACCCTTGCATCGTGAAAGGTAAGAAGGGGTCCAGACAATGGCGGGCTTCCTGATTACGAAAGTCATGAGGCTAAAGAAGGCAACGTGGCCAGAGACGGAACCAAAAAAGGTAGTGTTGGAGAGAGGATTATCTGGCCTTGCTAGGTCCAGTCAGACCAATTAGCTGAAGGAGTGAGTGAGTCATGGAATCCGTGGAGCCACATTCATCGTACGCGTGCATGACCCGCGGGGAAGATGCATTTGTACTCTCCTGAAGTTTCTTGTCATAAGTCCAACGCCATTCTCGACCAGTATGGTCACGAGCCGCCGTCTTTGACCATAAACTGCCGGCTTATATGTCCCTCCCACCAGATATCGACCTGGCAACAAGACTTTTTTTTTCCCTTCTGTCCCATCCCTTCCCTTACTATACCTACCTTGTGAACCTATCTATCTCTCCCTGTCGCGCGCTCTCTCTCCCTCTTTCCCTCTCTGTCTCCCTCCCCCCTCTCTCTGTCTCCGTCTCTCTCTCTCTTTCCCTCTCTCTATTATTTATTATGCCGATGAAATCACTTGAGGAAGGCTGACCTTTCTCCGTCGGCCCGGGCTATCGTGAGAGTCTTCCACATCCTCCCCGGAAATCCATCTCCTTACTGGGCTTTTCGAGCAGCTCCCCACGTCCACCTTCATCTCCGTGCCATCGATATCTAGACGATCGGAAGGAAAATCAGATGTCTGTAGGACGGGAGGACTTTCAAATGGGATCTCCCATGTTCAAAATTTTCCCCTCTGCAACTCAGCTAATCTACGACAGATAAAGCAAGGAAGAAAGTTTCAATCGATCCCTTTCTCCAATATCGCAAGACGGGACGAAGGAGGAAGTGAACTGCATGATGAAGAGTAAAGCCTGTTATTGTCGTTTCTGTGGTCCGTGTCTGTGACTGTAGCTGGAGTTTCGTACGATTTTGAACAAAGCCTCCAACCAAATAAGGATCAATTTCTAAATAAGGTCGCCTGTCTACCCACACTGAGCCAGTTTCGGAAGGGCCTTAGAAGGCTAAAGCTCCATCGCCTGTAAAATAGTATCAGTGTCCAGGTTCACTGAACGGGGGCGTGGAAGCTTTCGCTGAAGAACCGCCTTTCCCATCCCCCGTGGGCTGCTTTTTTTTTTCTTTGTCGGGATTGCCACTTCCGTGTTTACGACAGAGCCGTTATCGACTTATTTTTCAGGCTTATAACCAGAATGGATCAGATTGCGAAGCATTGAAAAATGGGGAAAACTGAAGACATCATTTAAAAATAAGGACACTATCTGGAGAAACTCAGTTTAAATTATGCTCGAGATTGACTTTTTTGTCGTTCAGAACATTTATATACCCGTAAGTGCATCCCTATGTCAAGTAAATGATCATGTTTTGCTCTAAAATTAGGATGAAATGGGCAAAACTCGGGCTTTTCCTATCGGTACGCAGAGATCGAGGAGCAGTTGACTGCAACGTCCGAGGTAGGTGTAAATGTATCTATTAAATTGAGTATTCTACTACAATTGCAGAGATTTCATGTGAGACAGCACACTCTTCCAAGGGAGAGTGGCATTTACGGGGATGTATGGGCCTCGTACCGAACGATGCAACATGCAGCAACGATCTGATCTTGTTTCGATCAACTCATGCTGAATGAGAGGATGAGAGAACGAAATCCAAGCCGGAACCAAACTTGGGTCTCGTTGTGCGACTGAGTCGATCCGGGTTCCAGCTAATTTATCGCGTTGTTGTGACTTCTCCAGGCGTAAGGGGATTTAAGATGAGCTCGTCGCGTCTGGTCGACAAAGAAGACTCGAAATCTCCAGTTACTAATAACTTCTCGAAATTTATTGCGAAAAGTCCACCGAAAACTTTTTTTTCCCGAGGCAGATTTTATGCGGTCTGCCAGAAAAATGGTTGCATTTCTGACTCAACCCCTTTTCCGAGAAACGAATGACATCGTGAGTAGAGTAATATCCTAGCAATTAATACTTGTCTTTCACGGCAAAAAAGTCGGGGGGTTATTGCGAATGCATTTGTGAGGATGACGCACTTAGGTCACGTGAGCCTTCTCCTATACCCCAGACAGACTCAGGCATTTGGCACAGGAAAACGATGGCATGTTTAGACAACTCCTGACCGGCAAGATCACAGGAAAGACAGGAGAATAAAGTGGAAGGATGAAGGGATCAAAGAACACGGAATTCCAAGTACATGACTCACCGAATCCCACCGAGACGAGCCTGGACACCCTCGTACAGCGGTACATGGATGGTAAAATCCTGTCCTCGCCCATCTCTTCGGGCTCTCGTCGCCCTCGGCTCGCTGCTGACCCTACGAGGTCTCCGGGCAGCCCAGGACCTGGGTGCAACGCGTCATCCATCCGCCGGGATGCAGCCTGAAGTTGGGGGTTACCTTTCCCCAGGAGGGACTTGGACGAGGATGGCGAAGAAAGGGAGAAGATGACAAGTGCAGTTTGAATCGCCACCCAACGAGGATCACATTTCAGTTTTCTCATCGTGTTATCTTTTTTATGCGTTCGAATGATAGCAGTTTCACACCAGGGTCAGATGTAACGTGAACGCACGTGCACAGTCCACTGTCGGAATCCCATTTGAGTGGCGTCTGTTATATAGTGCACTGTAGGCAGGTAACATGCTTATTAACAGGAGTAATTAGCTGTTTTCTCTGCCAGCAATCCGCCTACAAGTGGCGGGCCAGCCACTCGAGACGCTTTTGTTTTTTACCGCAATTGACGAATGGCATGAGAGAGAAGCATACGTCAACACCTCTGCAAGCTCAGAGAGAGGGGAAAAAAAGGACTTGCGCCGGCTTCGTTGTTTTTTTAAATCTCGGTCTTTGGAGATGAAACTTGTCATGGTTTCCCTCGTTAGAGGACTTCTTATGGGCGTCATAAGGTTTGCTGGGCATCTTGCCAGCCCTCATGCAGAAGGTGTCACTATAGGAACACTGCGAAATCGTTCTCGAATCCTTTTTTCGTCCTTCCCGGAACTGGCGATACTCGTAACGTACAAGCGGAAAATCTTCGATCGTTACTGCACCGTTTTGAGTGCTTATTAGCACTGTTAGTGTTCTATCGGAGGGCTTTCTTAAAAAAAAAGCACAATAATAACTGGGCGGAAGAGATGAGCACGAGCAATAAATGACAAATGGAATACTTACCAAATGGATTCCTTGGGGGGGGGGGAAGAGAGGGGAATGAGTGCTTTCTGATAATATGAAATTGCATTGTCGAGGCGGGGAATGTTTCATTCAATAGCCTTCGGCAGAAATGCAAAAATCGGTCTGCCGTTTATGACCTAATGACCGCGACAGTTCGTCCTATGTCTCCTCTTCCACTTACACAAGGGAGAAAAAGGGAAGCTTAGCGATATTTGTTCTAGATTCTTCGGAGGATACTATGCTCATGTAGCATGGAGCAATATTTTGAGAAATGTTTTACCAAAACAGGGCGAAGTCGTGCAAGGGTCCGATTCATGTTTGTACTTGGGGAAAATAGTTCCATAAATTTAAGCTAAATGAATTCACTGTTGATGATTGGACTCAGATTATACTATATTCACCAAGCGCGTTCCTTTGAGGTTTCGATGATTGAAAAACGTATGAGGCTAAGTTTTTAATCCATTCATCGTTGGGAGACTTCAGAGAGCCGTTCTGCCATATTTGGGCCGACGCTGTGAATAATGCCTCTGTCATCAAGCGTAAAGCTGCAATTGCATGAAAAGAACTAAAACTTGAGTGATGTGGACAAACGACTAGACTTAAATGCGTATAAAGCCCTGAAGGCGGTGCTTGTTTGAGATGAGCACCCCGAGGGGGAGGGGGGGGGGGGGGGGCATTCGCTCTCTTGAGAAGGCACGAATGACATCTCTGCGGAAAAAGTGGTGTGGGTCTCGTATCTCTTCATTTCTTCCAGTGGCCTCATGGAAAATGCTCTCCATTTTTGCCATATTGGTTCTAATGTTCGTAATGCCTCCGAAAAGAGTCGGCCCTGGTGGGATCATCCAACCACAAAAAATGCCAGTAGGCACGAAATTAGGACATTCCAGAATGCAGCGTGGAACTCCATCGGTATCGGCCGATGGGTGATCTTCAAAGCCCGTCTATATCATCGTTTATGGTGATGCACGGTCGTGGGGAAAACGACTTAGTGTTTTGTCCTTTCCAGAATTCCTCATTCGGTGAATTGACGACTCTCGGCTTGAATGGCACGCGTGATACGTATCACTAAATGATGTTCCGCAGATACAAACACTCACATTGCATCATGCGATGCGAAAGAAATCCTGCCGTCTCTGGTCGGTTCTTGAGAATACTCCATCTCTCTTCAGGCTGTCAAAAAATTAGACTTTTCCTTGAGAATTTTTCCTCGCGAAATCTTCGTCTCCGTTCGCCGCCGGGCCATATTTCCGTCATTTTCCTCGCAGACCAGACTAAATGGTAAGGCCTTCTGGAGTAATGCCTTCTCAATTGCTTGGAGTGATATCACTAGTGGCAGGTAGAAGTGAAATGGAGTCATGTCGCGTATTTGTGGCATTTGTCGGTAAGCACGATTCCTTTGCTAAAGGATCAAATGTCGCATGTATGCGACGACAGGATTTTCCAAGAAACTTGCAGACGAGGCGTATCGCTGCAGGATTTCTGTCGTGTCGCAGTAGAAGAAAATAGGCCAATTGCACAGGATAATTTCTTTTTCAAGTAAAAGCTAGCTGAATCATTTTTTAAATTAAGACAAAATCAAGGTGAGCAAGAAATAATTTCGAAGTACTTTTATTTATTTTAGTTTATGAAGAGACTAGTCCTTTCTTGTCGACCGGATTTAGAGGCCATACCGCATGAGATGTCCTGACCATCTCCACGGACCATCGTTTCAGCATCAAGCCTGTTCGAACGCTTAACGTCCCAGAAAATCGGAGCAGACGTCCCAGCAAAAAGGGCTACGTAGAACCAACGTTATATGAACGTCCCAAACATTCATTCAACGTTGATTCAACGTTACGTGTTTCAAATTGTTTGCTGGTGTCTCACTTGCATCTGAACTCTGCAAGAACAACGTGTCGCACATGTACGACATGCGGTCGAGAACGTGTTGAGCACACCAAGAGGAAGGTAAGTAGTGTACAGATTTTTTTTTCCCTATGGCCTGCAGTGCATCTTTTGCACGAGTTATAATGGCAGCCACGGTGGAGCACCGGAACGACTGACTTCAAAGAAACCCTTCATGAACCCACTCACCACCTCAAACGAGTTCACGAGAGCGATCATCCGTTTGAGTTATTGTTCTTCGAAGGTGGTCACATTCTGCGCTTCGTCGTGGCTCCTTCTATGGGAGTGATAGGCCCGGGGGAAAAAGGAGCACGCAGTACCCGAAACAGTCCGTGTGAATCAGCAGTATCGAAATTCTTGGCGTCCCAGCCTGGATTCCGGCCGGGACCTGGGGACCAGTGAGGAAACCATGATTTGCACATTCCAACTGCATCCTCTGGCAAGGGCATAGGAATCGGGGGAGGAGGGGGGGGGGGGGGAAGGGAGGGGGGGATGGCAAATGCCTCTCTCCAGTTCTCCAGCTGTGTGGGCGAAGAGTACCATATGCTCCTCATCACTTTTTCCCTGTTAGATGCTTATCTCTGGATAACGGGTCTAGTTCTGCGGAACCCCCCGTGGAATGTCCGTAGTCGTTTCTCTCTTTTATCCCTTTTGATAATTTTGAATTCGTTGCATGGCGGACAGTTTGATGCACTGAAATTTTTCAGTGAGGTCCGACGACGGTCTGCGAGTCTCGAACTGTGACCATGTTTGAGGGCTCGACATCATGCAGTCAGGACACGAGCGGCGCTGGTCGTACTTGAGGTTTAACCATTCACGGTACTCTTAAGTTTCTCATATTCAGTTATGCAGCTTTGTGTCGAATTTCTTCTCACAGGGTCCTGTAGTTTCCGAGTACTTCCTGAACCACTTTCTGGAAAGCCAACCGATCTTATGGTTTCATCACATATTTAAACGATGCTCTCGTTGTTGGACTTGTTACATGATGGAATGCCAGTTCGGGTCAGTACTGGATCCCACGCGTTGCACTTCATTTGCTTTGTGTGGGACCCTTTATCTAACTAAACTCTAAGCCTGTCGAAATGAGCTCATTTTTACGATTTGAGGAAATGTAAAGAATTGATTCCGCGGAAAAAGTAGACGAAACTTGAACCAATCCAAGTCCCCGTTTCATCCGATCGGTCAAAGAAGCAATACGAGCAAGGTTTTAAATCTAGCTGGTGGTAGAGATTCTTAAACGCTGGCAAGATGTAATGCAAATCATGAGATACTTTCGATTTACAGCAGTGGTGCCCAACCTTTTCGGCTCGGGGGCCACATAGCTCACTCCCACAGCCATCGCGAACCACATGCAGTCACTAATATTGTAGGTGACTATTTAAGGAAGTCTGAGGGTATTTATTTTGAGCTAGGGCCTCGCAGGCCACTTTTTGCCCGCGGGCCTCGGGTTGGGCACCACTGATCTAAAGGATGTCCTACCATAACCAAATATACCGAGTAATGAAATTTCGTCTCAATCGGATGTTTTAATGCATCATGGAAAGGTCATCCAGGGCCATACAGGTATATCACTTTCTCGGGGTATTTTTCAGTAGTGTTAACAGAAAAATATTATCCTTAAAAAAAATTCTACCTCTAAATCCTCATGTTGGTGCCTCCTATCTTTGTAAAAAAAAAAAAAAAAGCTTCAGGGTGTCCCACTTTAAAGTGAACCCACGTTCAATTTAAGTCTAAAGGCCGATGCACGCTGGCTGCGAAGAACTGCGGCAAAATCGCACTGCGACCGTCTGCGAAGTTCGCAGTCATTTCTTGACTGCGACCGTATGCGAATCATCTCCCACACTGGTCGCAGAGCTCTCAAGCGAAATCCGGAACGGTTGCGTACAATTTCAGAGCTCGTGCTGCAACAAATTTGTTCGTTTTTTGTTTTTTGTTTTTCGGCCACAGGAGGGAAAATGCTCTCGACAGTGGCAGGTACAGAGATCCCGTCATCAGATGGGAAAATTCGCGACTCTAGTAGAAAACATCATCACCAAAGACGAGGAATGTTTTTCTCCTGTGTCCATGAGAATGTTTCCTGAGTTGTTAAAGGTCCTCATTGAGGAGAGGGCAGGACACAAACTTCAGACCATAAATTTCCCCAGCGCAAATGTGGCACCAAGATGAGTAAATGCATGCTTCATACAAATATTCTGTATGTATTCAGATACGTATGAATTATGCGGTACTCTCTTAGAGGAGGGGACGACTCAGGTTTTTGCACTCGCAGTGCTTCTCAACTTAAAAAAATGAAAATAAAAAAGTCAAAATTCATGAATCGAAACGATGGAAAATAATCAGGAATATAAACGACACCGAGACCTTTATCGTATATTCATTTCGTAAATCTATGCATCTCTCTCACGGAGATCGAATGGTGACGATCGGCATCGTCAACCGCCGAAAGTCATT